ACTTATGTTCTGACACTTGTAGACATGACATTGAAGTACGAATCCTTTCAATAAACCAGAGACACATGTTGCTGCATTTCATCCATTTTACATGATGCTATTCCCCCCCCCCCCCAATGCTAGCCATTAACTGTATGGTCACGTCTTGGTAGAAGTGGCTTGTCTTCTGTGCTCATATGGTTTAGCACTGATGTGTCCGTCCGGTCAGCATTGTGGGCTCAGAGAGGTCGGCTGAAGCCTGAGGAATACAGCTCTTTAATAACAGAGTAAATATGTTGTTTGTGTACATCATTGTGTACACTTAACTTATTTCCTCCTCACTTTGTTTGTGTTTCCTCATCAGCTGCCGTGGGGTTACTCATAGCAGTCACCTGAATATTTGCTCTGATTTTAAAGATATCAGCAAATCTCTGTTTAAGCCGAGGTGCTCGATAGAATTTTTGAACGATTTGTTTAAAATACAGTAACAAAGCCATTGGCAGGTTTTCTTTTTTTTTTAAACCGTATTTAAATCTTAGGCCATCTGTAGATCAATTGTTGGATTCACTTATTTTGCATTGTCATGATTGTTGTTTGTTGCTCTGTGGTTTTCGGCACCACTGAGTCGAGGCCTTAAGTTTCTACTCATGAACATTTGGTATTTTTCACTCTCGTGTGTCCTCACCTGATCTTTTATATATATTAGGGTTTTATCTAATGTCCTGTTTTCTTGAATGAATTTAGGTTCATATATATTTAACTGCACATTCATAAGTTGGTCATCATTTATAATGGTCTTAATGAGTTTCTGTGGTTGTTAAATCAAATAGTATGTTGGTCATGAATGTTTATTACGGTGGTGTCAATCCGAATTATTGTCTTATTTATTGGCATAAACAGCCCCTTATATTTCTTGACTTTAGTCACAAACTGTAACTGACGTACTATCTTTATTTTTTGCCCTGTTAATGTAAGTGTCATTAAATATTCTGCCATTTGAGCTGCTAGAACTTCTAATTTTACAAGAACCCAACAGCTTTGTTTTAAGATTACAATTCAAGCACCCAAAACAATGCATTTCCCCTCATTCTTTAACTTTGAATCATAATACAAGAAACACGTGCTTCAGGGCCGAGAGGTTTCCTGAGGCAAACATTGTCTATTAAGAAAGTGTGAAATTGAAAATCTGAAAACCTCCTGCACATATCAGTTTGTGGCTTTCTCACGGCTTGACAAATAATCGTTGCATCTCCTGTCTTACACACAGAAGAAAATAACTTCTTAATTACAGCAGTCACTTGAGGCCGTTGACAATTGGATATAGTGTGGCATGTCCAAAAATAGCTTGTGGAGGCCAAAGAATATCACCACAAAAGCACCAATGACTTAGCTCCACACTGTTTTCAAACTTGAACACTAATTTATTGAATCCAGAAAAATATGAGGCACAGAAAGCAAACAAATAAGTAACAAGTCAAGTGCCAGGAAAGACACCAAAGATAAAAGAAAAGAAGTTCAGTGTGAATGTAAAAAGAGGAACAGGTTAATAGAGGTTAAATGAGAAAGTGAAATAAACTAAATAAGATGATGGTATCTGTTAATATCAGAAAATAAAGTAGAATGTGAGAGCCAGAGAAAGAGGGAGAATAGCCTGAATTAAAGAGGCAGCAGGAAAAGGATAATCGGAAATTAGGTAGAGGCAGGGATGAGCAATGCACAGTGAGGTGCTTCAGTAATCTGACAATTTAGTGAAACTGGCACCATGATTACAAATAATTACAGGTGAACTGCCAGGATATGACGTCCAGCTCTAATCTCTGTGATAGACAAGGGAAGACTAAAGGGAAGGAGGCAGGGAATGCTAAAAGAGAGGTTGAAGGAAGTGAACAGAAAGCAGCAGAGCTCAGAGGAAAATAGATTTCAACCTGACAGCAACATGAGCTCGAGCTGGTGCAGATTGAGTATTCTGAATGGTGGTGAAGCAAGATTCTTCATTTTCTACTAAATGTGGTCAGTTCATGGCCCATGCTGTAGTCCTCAATTCTCTCCATCTCACACACACACACACACACACACACACACACACACACACACACACACGCACACACAGGCAAAATTGGACAGCGCTTATTAACAGTCACATGCTGCAGATGATTAATGCTCTGGGAACTGGTTCATGTGGTGGGGTCCTGGTGAGAAGGAGGGGTGGATGCAGGTGGAGCCTATAAACACCTAAAACATGCAGTACAAACACCATGGGTTATTCTGTCAGTGACATTGCCGGTTTGAAGTTCGGTCTCTCAGAGCCCTCAGGCTCTCAGTAATCTCTAAGCTCTCATGTTCAAAGACATGAGATAGTGAACAGATCCTACACAGACACTTTGTGGTGGGTGGCAAAAAAAGGAACGAAAAATAACAACACTTGTATGGATAGAATTGGATACAAGCCAATTTGTATTTAAAATATATAATAAGTGGGCGGTTTCTTTGCATTTGCATGTTAACCTGTCATGCAGCAGATGTCCTCTAGCTGAATATTTATTTGAGTCTAGCCAGCTACTTAATTGCATGAATTTTTGATTCCATTTAAAAAGCTTTGATTAACGAGTTGCAATTTGCTATGCATGAACATTTTACAACCACCAGCCTCCACTTTAAACAATGCAATATTAATAATACAGAAACATGCCTATCTTTCATATGCAACCCCGCCCCGACATAGTCAAAATAAATGTGTGTGTGTGTGTGTGTGTGTGTGTGCGAGTGTGTCTGTGCCCTCAGATGAGAGGTTGTGTCCTGCAGAGTAGAGAGCTAGTCATCCTCAGTATTAGACAAGTGGAGTATGAGCAAAAGAATTGATGACAAATCATATTAGCAATTGCACTGGCAGGATATCCTCATTAGGTGGGCTAAGTCAGAACACATTAGTGGCAGCAGTTTCACAAAGTTATGTCCAGTAAATAAAACAAATGTTCACCAAATGTGATGAAATATCCGTATACCACACCGATGCTAATGGAGCCTGAAGAACAACGGCTGAATCATATTGGTTTTCAGAGCTGTAAAATGCAAAAGATGCCCAATCTGTCGCTATTATAATGACTATACTGTTTAAATAGGGAAGGAAAATGTAACAGAATACCAATTAAGCAATCATTTTTCTATTCCTGAGAGCTTGCATATGTAATGTCTAGGCAGTCTTTCCCCCCACTGGTTAGCCCATCTCCTAGTCTAATTGCCCTTATAGAGGGGGGATATTTTATACCTAAATACTTAATGTTTTTACCACCTTGTTAATGTGGGACACTATACTGGCTTCAGAAAAGAGTGGAAGGTTTGCAATTTCCCAGAAAGCCTCGGTCTCAAATAGAAACTTGTTTGTCAGATTTAGAATTCAAGGGAGGTCAATCCACTTTTTTAAAACATGAAATGAATACACAAGGAGAACCTTGGAGGTAAAATGAAAACTAGAAAAAGGTCTTTGTACATTGAGATTTCATTAAGTAGACTTTCATTGAAAAAAAGAATGAGAGGGTATGAATTAATCTTTATTTCCATGTGATTATTCAGAGACATTTAAAGAAAACATTTCCTATGGCCATCAAGCTGACACAAAACAAATAGAAAATGACACAAAGATAAAGGTTACAACTCAAAATCAAATGATCTGGTCTATAAATACCTATAACTGGACAATAAATACCTGATATAAAAAGAGAAAGAGAGAGAGAGAGAGACTGTACACCTGTTCATTCATACCCTGGGCAAAATGATGCTGTGTTAGATCCACAGTGAGAGCCTGCTACTGCGCATAAGTTGTGTGTTTACTTCTGTTCCAGGCTTTATAAATAAAATGAGAAATTAGGAATATGTGGTTATGAAAAAGCAGTTTAATTAAACCACTATCCTGGAGCGTGCCTGTGTATGTTGGCACCAAAGAATATTTTTCCTAGGTTGTCATAAAATGGACAGTACAGTGAAAAGTGAGTTTAGATAGATAGATAGATACTTTATTGAGCCCGAGGGAAATTCAAACTTGAAAATTGATCCCGAGGGAATTTCACTCTCTGCTTCACCAAGCTCACAGTAATGACATAACCGTTGGTGTTCTTCAGTTCCAGTACTGTATATCAACCAGTTTCAATGTGTAACAGTATAGTATCCCAGAGAGAAGGAAATCCTGAGATTGTTTCAGAAAAGGGCATCAACAGAAAATGATGGCAAACATCTGGAATCCAAGGTTAGGGAACAGAGCCAAAAAGGCCACTTTATTTGTAAGATACCATTTGTTAGTTTTTCCATCAGCACAGAAATCCGATGAGGAAATCAGAGGGCAGTTGAAAACGAGTCTATTGGAAAGGGCTGTTGAATCTTTTACTTTGAGTGTAATTAAACCACATGAGAATAACAGCTCAAACTGATGCATCATTTTGCCGGTGAAAGGGGTGGGAGGAGGGTCAAGAGGACAGAAGACGATGCAGTATTTCCTCTGCAGGGCATCGGAAACATCTCATTGAAACAGGTTGGCCATATGACACTATTGGCTGTTGAATTAAAACAGAGGTGGGCGTATAAATACTGACACACACCAAGCTTTCAGACGGGCTGCAGACGATCAGACGGGCAGACAGCGGAGCTCGTGGCTGAGCGTCTAGCGTGTGAATGCCTGCCGGATTCACAGTGTGGGCGACTCTTGACTGTGAGGAGTCTGACGTGTTTTGGGAAGTTGGGCCGATGGATGTAGTATCGTATTTCCTGCATAAGCCTTGTGTCCTGCCTTAAAGACATTGTCATCCTTACTGAATCCGTTTTAGCTTTTTAACCTGCGTGGATCTTTTGGTGCCCCTATATCCTGATATCAAGGACTTGTGGATCTTTTTTGAGAAACACATTCCATCAGATATATAAATATTCCTAAGGAATCTTTGTTTTGCTGTCATTAACTTGTAACTTTTGTGGTTGATGACAAATCTATGTGTGCTCTTTGTCTGTAAAGTTCCTCTGTTTTACACGTTTTTTAGCACTCAGAAAATGTCTACTCACGGTCCTCCTCTGTTCATTGCAGGCTGATACCGCCACCAGCTTCCTGCGTGCAGCTCGTTCAGGGAACCTGGACAAGGCTCTGGATCACATCAAGAACGGGATCGACATCAACACATCTAATCAAGTAAATATGTTTCATTTAGCTCTTCTTTACAACTATGCTGTCTGTGTGGGAGAAATAACTCCACCCACTCACTTCTACTACTAAACAAAACAGATAATTAAATCCTGGCTCACTTAAATCAATTAAACATCGATTTAGTATTCCGAGTACTTGTGAAAAATACAAGCCCACTACATATGTGGTACCAAATCCTAAATGACTCCTTTGTGCTCTTGATTAAAAACAATTAAATTAATATCAAAATATGCAAAGACACAATTAGGACATTTAGGACTGTGTGTTGTTTTTCATTTGAAGTTTATGGGTAAACATGTGGAGACCTTTCTACATCTGTATTTCAATTCACATGAAAAACTACTGGCAACAAGTGAGGAGAGAAAAATCTCGTAGTGTAATATTTTGTTAGCCATGTATATCAAACAGGCCGTCAAATAGTTGAAAAGAAATGAAAGAGTGCTGCTGAACTCGCGCTCACAAGGCCAGAGAACTTTACTACAGCACGAGTTATTAATGTTTCTCAGGAGAAATATCCAATGGTGCCGGTCGAGATGATATATTTATTACAACATTTTTGGAGCAAAAAAAAAAACCTAATATAAGTTATTCTACCTTCAATTCATACAGTGATGACCAGAGGCAGCATATTGGTAGAAGTGAATCGTTTTGTCCAGCTGGTTCTTCTGCGCGCTGCCACTTTTTTGTGTTATTTGGATACATTAACACATTCTGCAATTAGATACATTCACTGATTTAAAAGAAGAAAGCAATGTTATAAAATTGAATTTTATGTCTTGCAAAAAAAAAAAAAAAACAGTATGAGAGCTTATAGAGCCATTTCTTACCTAACTGCAGGACTTTCTTACCTAAAGTAAAAAGGCTTCTCCATAGTAAGGAGGTCATGGTTATGAAACAGACTGATGACAGAGTGGTACTAACAAACTTCATTGAATTCCTCTGAGAAAGAACAAACTGTACTCAATTTCTTTTAGAGGAATTTGAAGAGGGATTTATATGTACCACTTAATGCCACTTCAGTTTCCAATGGAATGTAATTCTGCTGTACTAGCAAAGGGTGTGAAATAAAAGACAAAGAAGAAAATGAAAAATTAACCACTGGCAGACCTCCTGATTCTTCATCTTTGTGTAAAGTGGTTAGCATAAATAATTAACTCTATTAGATTATAAGTCTCTCCATCTTCATCCCTACAGTTAGCTCCCTTACACCTTGTTGCATCATGACTGTAACACAGCTATCCCGCGCTGTTTAATATCAGGATCCATGAACATGATCGTGTGAATGTGAATGGGTGTGGTAAACACAAACACAAGCATACCCTTACATTGTTGTGCCAAGGATGTGTGTGTAGTGGGAGCGACGGTTGCTACATGAATGGACAAGTGCTTTTATTGTCAGACAAGAGAGAGGCATTAAGAAGGGAAACCAGACTCCCACAATCTGTTGTGTTGTTGATGCGCGCAACACTTACAAAACATGCACCCCGAGAGAAACTACATGGGGAAAAGAGGATAATGAAATAAAAGGAGGTATTCTCTTCACCCATTTCTCAAGGGGTTGTCAACATTTTCATATTAAGATTGTTGTCTACCATGATTGTAAAATGTTGATATGATCGACAATAATTGTATTTCACGCCCTCAACCATGGGATCATTTTCTTTTTGTGATGCTGAGTCTGTTTCCTTTTTGCAGTTTGTTCCGTCATTCTGTCTTTTTCATTCTTTCCTCTGTCTTTCTTCTGTCTGTCTTTTTTAGGGACTTCTTTACGACTATATTGACTTTTTTTTTTTTTTACTGCTGCAAGGGCAGAGTGCTTTTTTTTTCACATGTGATTTATGTGATTCTGCAGCAATAACCTGTCCTTGCTGTCTAGCTACAAACCTGCAGGCTCTCGTCGGTGCACTCTCTCTCTCTCTCTCTCTCTCTCTCTCTCTCTCTCTCTCCATCTCTCTCTCTCTCTCTCTCCATCTCTCTCTCTCTCTCCAACTTTCACACTCCCCCACTCCCTTCATTTATCGAGGTCTCTTACCACTGCTGTGCTTTTATTTGTGTGTCTGTATATGAAATCATAAAATCCACAGTATGAAATACATAATGTGAAAGACATGTAATGCCTCTCTAGATTTAGCAGTGTGTGTAACTGCCACTGATGTACAGTTTGTTTCCCATCGCACTGCGCATGCTCACAGAGAGACTGTGTTACCCATTTCAATTGAGTGGCACCGCAGTATAATGGGAAGTCTTAGAACAGTGAAGATAGTGGAGACTCCTGGTGGCCAGGTTGGTTACAGCAGGCAGGTTGTAGCTCAGACTTAACTTATACAATATTCAAAAGGCCAGTTAGTGACACAAAGACAACCAGAGAGAGACCATGTTTAGATCAAACAGTTTGTCTTTCAGACCCTCCACTCTCCTTGTGGCTTATTTTGTGTAGACTGTGTACTCCTGGTGTCATTGCTCTGTTAGCTATTTCTGCACAGGCATGTATTGCAGTGTGGATGTTTGACGTGGGACAAAAGCATGCAGTGCGTTTCTCTTTTTCATCCCTTTCCTATAACTCTGATGGATTATGAACTTGAGAGTCTGATGGTGTTCAGACAGAAGTCAGACACATTACAGTCTGGTTTCTCCGACCGCTACACTAATAGCTCATTTAGTCATTTCTGAAAGGTTTTGAGATGCTTTATGTTAATGGTTGTGGTCGAGACCACAACGCTTACAGCCAAGGAGAGGACAAGGCTGAAGGTTGTGAGAAAACAGCTTTGGCACGCGTGAGATTTCTGAGTGATCCTTGCACAGATCCTTTCCTTTAATTGATTTAGGAGGGTAGAATGTGAGTGTGTGTTTTATCACATTAACTGGCAAGACCACTGCTTATCTCATTAAGTTGTCCTGAGATGTGGTATCACTTGTCAGTAAAAGCGGACTATCATTATAATAATCCTGATAATTAACAGGACTATTATGCTGTTAAAATAGTCATAATACTAGATCAGAAGCGCAATCATTTGTGCATAAACGCTAAAGACTTTACCTAAAGGTGGACATAACTTTTGAGAAAACACTTCATCCTATCTGTCTGTGTCTTTTGTCTCTGATTTGACCATATCGCTCTGTTTTCTCCCTCAGAATGGTCTCAACGGGTTACATCTGGCCTCCAAAGAAGGTCATGTCAAAATGGTGCTGGAGCTGCTACATTCTGGCATTGAGCTTGAAGCCACCACCAAGGTATTTTATTTGTATATGTGCTTGGTGATCTAAAGTAACATTGCATTAAGAACCAAAAGTGTCAAACTGCTTTAACCGCCCACTTTAGCTTCTCTCCAGGCAAATCCAGCGGGAATGAAACTTTTAGAACCACTGCAGCAAAGAACCTTCAGATAAACTGGCATACCTATTACCACAGAAACTGAAACAGCAAAAAAAAAAAAAGTTTACAAATCAGCCTCTAATTTGCAATAAAAAATCATGAAAAACAATAGCGTGAACACAATCTGAGAGAGTCTTCCCTTAACATCTGTTTTAATCATATAAACGGCATGAATACAAAACGCTTTATGTATTTTAGTGTTGAGCTCTTACTGTAAGAAATCTAGGTCATTACCTTGCAATTATTTTCATCTCATTCACTCTAATTTTCCTCTCTCTCTCTCTCTCTCTCTCTCTTTCTTTTGTATGTGTGTGTGTTTCTGTGCTTGTGCTTCCAGAAAGGGAACACAGCTCTTCATATCGCAGCACTGGCAGGGCAGGAGAAAGTGGTGGCTGAGCTTGTCAACTATGGTGCCAACGTTAATGCCCAGTCACATGTGAGTTCCCCGCAAGCTGTGTGTAACAGGAGTGTGTTTGCCAAGACTGTTGTGTGTGAAACGGTTGTATTTTTTTTTGGTTGTTTCATTTGTGTGGTTGTATAAGTAACACCTGCAAAAGAAGCTGTACATAAATGAACATACACTGCCTCTAGTGTTTGTCACTATATGAAACGTGTTTTTGCCCCAACAGAAAGGATTCAGTCCTCTTTACATGGCAGCACAGGAGAACCACTTAGAGGTGGTCAAGTTCTTGCTCGAGAATGGTGCCAATCAGAGTCTCCCAACTGAGGTAGGTGCCTCTTTAGCCTGAGTGTTTTAATGTTTTGTCAGTTTGACTTTGTCCACATCAGCTGTATTAATGAGTGATTATGTCCACCCTAAACATCTAGGGTATGTATGTGCTGTTACACAATGTGTGAAAGGAAGTGTCTCCATTCCTTTCTCGCCTTGCTTCTTTCTGACTTCCCTACCTGTTCAACCTTTGTGACGTCTCCTATTTTCATTCCCTCGCTTGCCCTCTCTTAGGATGGCTTCACTCCTCTGGCAGTAGCACTACAGCAGGGCCATGAAAACGTTGTGGCACTTCTCATAAACTATGGCACGAAGGGCAAGGTCCGCCTCCCTGCGCTGCACATCGCTGCTCGAAACGATGACACGCGCACAGCTGCAGTGCTCCTGCAAAACGACCCAAACGCTGATGTTCTCAGCAAGGTATACTCTCACTGAGACTGCAACGTCTTGTACCATGGTCTACAATGACCATTGACATATTCCAGGAAAAAAAAAAAAAAAGGAAGAAACACATTGCATGAGCAAATATCTTAAAGAAGCAACTTTTATAATGCTGCTTCTAACCAAATTAGCTTTTTGATTCACATTGGTGTAAAATGCATCATGCACTGTTGTTACCTTGTTTTCTAACAGAGCTATAAATAGATGATAATTATCCTAATTTGCCCTTTTTATTATCACACGTTCTCATCTTGTCTCTCTCTGTAGACTGGTTTCACGCCTCTCCATATTGCAGCCCACTATGAGAATATGAGTGTTGCTCAGCTGCTGCTGAACAGAGGAGCCAATGTAAACTTCACCCCCAAGGTCAGTTTGTCTCAGCTGTAAGAATGAAACACACACCTGAAGAGTGCTTCAAACATTGTGTGCAGAGAGGAAAATATCATACAGGAAACAGGAACCTTAATAAGTGCACTATTCCTATGCATTTAGTCGTTTTTTCAGAGATACATTTCATTATGCTGTATCCCTTTAATGGAAACCGATGATTAATAAAGCTGCTTTAATTTCTTTGCTTGCTTGTCTAGAATGGCATCACCCCCCTTCATATAGCTTCCAGGAGGGGAAATGTGATGATGGTCAGACTACTGCTGGACAGAGGAGCACAGATTGATGCCAAAACTAAGGTACCAATTAACCATTTTCCTACATGTTTTTTCCCTTAGTTGTCTATGTCTTCCCTGCAGACTTCCTTGTTTGTATCTCTGATTTATCATCATGAAACACCTTTCCAGTTGCTCCTCCTCTCTCACTCTTTCTGAACTCATCTCTTTGCAGGATGAGCTGACTCCTCTTCACTGTGCAGCCAGGAATGGCCATGTTCGTATCATTGAGATCCTGCTGGAACACGGGGCTCCCATCCAGGCTAAAACCAAGGTGGATTAATTCACTGAGATACTGCAGACGCTGTGTCTGTCTTTTTTAGACATTTCTATCTTTGGGAGCGGTGACATCATCTGTGATCATTGAAGCTTACTTTTATGTGCTGGTTTGACTTTGTGAATGTTGATCTGAACCTTATTAACCTGAAGGAGATTAAATCAGACATTCAGCTCACAACATAGCTTGCTAGTTACTTCTAAATTCATGCAAATGGTGGCCAATTAGATGAAATCCAGATTCCTGACACGTTGATCTGTTTACAGAGCAGCTCAGATTGAAGCCTTATCAGTTACGAGGTTTTCCCAGCTGATGTCTCTCTTTTCCTGACCACAATGAATAAACTCTCAATTAGTGCCAGTATAAACTATTCACATGATTCATGTGATGTATTTACAAGGCTTTTCTTTGGAGCAAATCTCTCTTCATCTCTCCTCCACCTTTTCTTTGTGTCCCATTCAGAACGGTCTGTCCCCCATCCACATGTCAGCTCAGGGGGATCACATGGACTGCGTCAGGCAGCTACTGCAGTACAACGCTGAGATTGATGACATCACGCTGGACCATTTGACCCCTCTTCATGTAGCAGCCCACTGTGGTCACCATCGGATGGCCAAGGTCCTTCTGGACAAGGGGGCTAAAGCCAATGCACGTGCTCTGGTAGGTTTTCTGTTTTGTTGTTATAATTAGTAGACAGTGACTTTAAACATCAAGATGGTTATAGAGACTGTCTTAAGTCTATTCAGAACTACGTGTTGAAAGAACTGTCATTCAGATATGATCTAATTATTGTCATTGAGTCTTTTTTTTTTTGTAAAACTACAGAAACGTTGCTTGACTATGGCAACGTTTGTGTTATAATATGGTCGTGTAACTCAGAACTGGTTCCTAAAGTTGTGAACTTTTCTCTGTGTTTCCAGAACGGCTTCACACCTCTCCATATTGCTTGCAAGAAGAACCACATGCGGTCCATGGACCTGCTGCTTAAGCACTCCGCTTCACTCGAAGCTGTCACAGAGGTGAGACCATGTGACCACCAGAGACCAAGACTCAAAATGATAATGATGTAGTGTGAAAGTTTTTACCTTGGTGACATTCAAGAATCAGGTCTTTTTCTCTTTTTTTTGTAACAAGCCTCTGTTTTGACTTTGGTATCTGTTTTTAGAATTTCTCACAAACAGTAAAGCGACGGCAGCAACATGTGTAGTTTAAACTTTGGTTTGGAAATAGCCTGATGCAATGCAGGTGTCATCTATCTTCATGTTTCAAAACAGATTTTTGACAGGGATTAATGATTATAATGTGCTTAAGCATCGAAGGGTGCTGCTAATGAGCCAGAACATGACTTGACTTCTTGGTAATACCATAATACTGATCCTTATTGACCTTCTCTGTCTGGGTTTCTGTTGCAGTCTGGACTCACTCCTCTTCATGTAGCAGCTTTCATGGGCCACTTGAACATAGTAAAGAACCTGCTCCAGAGAGGGGCTTCACCTAATGCTTCCAATGTGGTGAGAACCCCTTTTCTAAAAAACAAAAACTTTACATATTGCGCTGAATTTTATATTTCCCCTCGATCACCTTCAAACATTGATGATTGAGTTAACTGATGTTTTGTTGTAGTTTTTGTTTCAAGAAATGTAAGTTCGGATCTCATAGCAAAAGGTTTCCTGTGTGTGTGTTAACATTTTTCAAAGCAAATTCCATGCTGTCAATTCAGTAATTGATTACATGAGAGGATTAATTTAGCATTTAACCGGGAGCCATAGATGGATTAAGTTTCTTAAATGCCTGAACATCAAAGGCTGATTCTTAATTGGCTGAATTTATCTCTAAATAACTAAAATGAATAGAGTGGTCTCACTAATGAGCCTGATATGAACAAGGTCGAGTTTCAACAAGATTTAGTACAAAGTCAAAAAAAAGAAAAAAAATGGTCAAGAACGGTCTGTCCCACATCCACATGGCAGCTCAGTTGGAGGTCAAGATGTGCTGAACTGATAATATATGAGCACAACATGTTTTTTTAGTACAGGCTTGTACTAAAGTAGTATGCCCTGAAGCACTTTATTTATAGATTGAACCTGTTACTGTTCAGCAACATGTTGTTATTAATGTACAAATTGAAAATATCAGTTACATACAGGAGTGTGACTGTTCAATAGTTACTGTGACTGTTGTCCTGTTTTTGTCTTCACCAGAAAGTGGAGACTCCCCTCCACATGGCCTCCAGAGCTGGCCACTGTGAAGTTGCTCAGTTTCTGCTGCAGAACGCAGCGCAGGTGGACGCCAGGGCTAAGGTAAAAGCTTAAGTGTGAAGTAGAATTATCAAACTTAAGTGGCAAGATGTTTCAGGTGGATTGCCTTTAGCTACTCCTTCATAGCCACTGTTCAATATAATTATAATAAAACACAAAGTGACCTTCTTCTCCTTGTGTTCAGGATGACCAGACACCCTTACACTGTGCAGCCCGCATGGGCCACAAGGAGCTTGTCAAGCTTCTCCTTGAGCACAAAGCCAACCCAGACTCAGCTACAACTGCAGGCCACACACCTCTTCACATCTCTGCACGTGAGGGACATATCCACACTATTAGGATCATGTTGGATGCTGGAGCACAGCAGATAAAGATGACAAAGGTAGAGTAGAATCCATGACAGGAAAAACACTGACTACTACGCTTATAAATAAAGACAAATGTTATATTATGCATGGAGAACTTACTGCAATGACTGCAATTACTGCAACGACTACAAATTGTGGGGGTTTTTTTGTATTTTTTCTTCTCATTAATGTTTTTATGTTTTTCATTTTTTTTTTTTGAGCAGAAAGGCTTCACTCCTCTTCATGTAGCCTCTAAATATGGGAAGGTGGACGTTGCTGAGCTCCTTCTGGAGAGAGGAGCCAACCCAAATGCAGCTGGGAAGGTGAGTCACTGTGTGCCTCCTGTAGTTCATCTCTTTTGAAGTACACAAAAATAAAAACCAATAAAGCACTCTTTATGAAGGCTTGAAGTGAGCAATCCAAATGTGGTCACATTGTGATGTATTTGGGATATCAGCTGATTGGTAGATTATCGTGGTATGTGTTTCATATATACATGTTTCTGTGTGTGTTTTTTTTTTTTGTATTTGTATGTGTATGTCTTTGGGTGTGTATATATGTGTACATGTGTATGTTTGTGTGTTTAACAGAACGGTCTGACACCCCTTCATGTGGCCGTCCATCACAACAACCTGGATGTTGTTAAACTGCTGGTCAGCAAGGGAGGATCTGCACACAGCACTGCCAGAGTAAGATGCTCACATGTGTGTGTGTGCTCATACTGGCACAAGAAGGCGATCACAAAGCATGACAACTGATCATTCAAACACATTTTTTAAAAAGACAGGTCACGAGTGTGTGATTATTAGGCATACAGTCAGTCGCATGGCAAGCTTTGCACTGGAAGCACTCAGTCATGACAGCATTGACATTTTTATATTAAATTTGACATAAAAAGTGTGAAGAAAAGTCAACTTTTGTGTTCGTATGTTGTCTTGTTTCTTGCTATAGAATGGCTACACTGCGCTGCACATAGCGGCCAAGCAGAACCAGGTGGAGGTGGCCAGTTGTCTGCTTCAAAATGGCGCAACACCCAATTCAGAATCCCTCCAAGGCATCACGCCCCTACACCTGGCTTCTCAGGAGGGGCGGCCTGACATAGTGGCCCTGCTCATCGCCAAGCAGGCCAACGTAAATCTGGGAAACAAGGTATACAATCAGCGTGGTGCAAGACTGACACTGTTTAACCTTGCATTTTACCTTTCAAAAATGACTGTGATAATTCAATAAATGACATTCCAATTGGTTCTGTTATTGAACATTTATATTACAAGCTATGAAAGCTTTGAAGATACAGTTACAGTTTATCCCTCCTGTCCGTTCTTTCTGTCTTTTAGAACGGGTTGACCCCTCTGCATCTTGTAGCTCAGGAAGGGCATGTTGGAATAGCTGACACATTGGTCAAACAAGGAGCCTCAGTTTATGCTGCATCACGAGTAAGTTACACTTCCTCCACTGGTACATTGAAACGACAGAGTATGCATTATAAGCTGATAAGAATATAACGATCATAGAGACAAGGTCCTGTTTCCTTACAATATTCTTGCCGGAGTTCATTCTCCGCCAAGCGGCTAGCTTAGATGTTTTCATTTTTTGCTGCCCGTAAAATAAATTAGCTGCATGTGTGCAAGATCCAAGCTGTCTTTAAGGAGATTTTAATGAAACCACTGAACAACAGCCAACTCTCTTTTGCTCCTCGTGTCAGATGGGCTACACACCCCTTCATGTGGCCTGTCACTATGGCAACATCAAGATGGTGAAGTTCCTTCTGCAGCAGCAGGTTCATGTGAATAGCAAGACCAGGGTAAAAGACTTCTATCTTAATTCAATAATATATGTGAAAAGACTTAACTTGGGTGTTTTTGTTTACTGATTTTATGCTTGTTGTTTGCACTCACAAAGAAACAACTGGATTTAACCACCAGAAAGCTGCTGTTAGCTTTAGGTGACAACATCACAGTTGGAAATACTGCTATGTCTGCAGTTCTTGTTCTGCCTGAACATCTCCTTTTTTCCTTCAGATGGGCTACACCCCTCTGCACCAGGCAGCTCAGCAGGGTCACACCGACATCGTCACCCTATTGTTGAAACATGGAGCCGAACCCAATGAGATCACTTCGGTGAGACAACTTTTGGTCACCTATGGTCCTCTCAAAACGGGGTGTTCCCTCTGTACTCGCATTGATGACGTGGGGGGGGGGGGGGGGGGACATAAACATGTTTGTGTATTTCTAGAATAATAACAATGTACTCATGTGGTTAGTATAAGCCGTGTAAACCTGTTGAACAGGTCAGGGTTAAAGGTCACATATTATCCTTCTTTTCAACAAGTTTAAATAAGTCTTATAAGAGCTCCCAAAACATGTCTGTGAAGTTTCTTGCCAAATATCCACTCTGATCCTGTATTATAGGATGCCTATAAGCCGCTTTATTTCAGCCCTGCTCAGAACAGGCTGTTTCTGTGTCTATAGCTTATGTATTCTGCATAATATGTGACTTTCAAATAAGTATCCCCTTGTATATAATCATCCTCGCTGATGAAACATGATTCGATTTTTCCCCTGTTGATATTAAATGTATTTAGAGACTTACTTAACGTATCCCAAACTCCACATAAAAAGAATGAGCAGTGCCAATATAGTGTGTTAACCAAAACAAGTTTGGATGTTCCTGAATCCAGTTGAATCCACCATGTTTTTTAAATAAGTTAAAAGAAATACTAATGCACACCATGCCTTCAGTCATTTGCTTTTTGATTTCAAAGCTCTATGTATTTAATTTGTGCTTGGTTTTTTTTTTTTGACAGAGAATTTAAAAAAGATGGGCTTTCCTGACATTATTTGGCTAAATAACAAGTGGAAATGTACTCTTTTATAGAATCCCCTCTATAAAAAGTATGAAATGCCTTTTCTGTTGTCCTTTCAACAGTTACAATACATGGAAACATTTTTGCGTGATGTTTCTCATCTTTCTCTGAATAGAATGGGACATCTCCCCTCGGTATTGCTAAGCGGCTGGGTTATATCTCTGTCATTGACGTGCTGAAGCTGGTTACCGAGGAGTCCGTCTCCGCGGTGAGCAACACATCATGCATGGTTCACATGGTTACACCATTACGCAAAAGAAGTAGCCTTGACACACCATGACAAATGTTTGATCAAACCATTGATTTGATCTGCTACCTCACCTGCTTTTAGAATTATCCAGCATTTCTCTTCTATTATCCTTTTTTTCCCCCCTCTTTTCTATTTCTCTCCCCTCTGTCTCTCTGTGCCACATCTCTCAAACACAACCTCCTTCTGCTCTTCACAGATCACCACAGAGAAGCATCGGATGAGTTTTCCTGAGACCGTAGATGAGATTTTGGATGTTTCAGAGGATGAAGGTAGGCTATCTGTTTTGTTAAACATGTAAACTTGACAATATTAACAATGACCTTTCTGATGACTCGCCATAAGAAGTCTGAAGGGAAGGATTACTAACTGACTAACACATTAAGTGCCAACATGTATTTAAACATTCATGTGACTGTTTATATATTATAACACCTTTTTCCATTTGTTTTGTAGGGGTTGCCCAGCTAACGTTAGGTAGGATTGTGTCTGTATCTCTGCTCTTGTCCAGTCCGATGGCTATAGTGAACTTGTGCCTTCATTGCAAACGCACTTCTCATTTTCTGTGTGTGTGTGTGTGTGTGTGTGTGTGTGTGTGTGTGTGTGTGTGTGTGTGTGTGTGTGTGTGTGTCTAACTGTCTCTTAATCAGTTCCGCTGACTCTGCTCTCAACTCCAGTCCTGTTTGCTCTTTTTTCATCGTATCTTCAGTCTCTTTACGCTCAGAGATTTGTTTCTAAAATGTGTCAGTTTTCATTAGCATGTATTCAAAACATTTTCCTTTTTGTTTTTTACCGGCGTTCAATGCACACATCTGTTCGTGGACTCACGTGCTTACTGAACTCCAGTGTTTCAGCATTTAAACAACAAAGGCTCACTTCCAACTCAGCCATTTTAAAACTTAGTCTTCTTACCTTCTACAGCTTAATTGATCAATACGCTAACTATGCACATGCTGTGCCCCAGCTGTGACACTCTCCTGCAAACAACATACACAGTTGATGTTATTTAGTCATCTGTCTACCTAAAGGCACTCAGAATTACATTAAATCAACACATCTTTTACAACATTTCTTCATGCAAACTTCATCTTTTGATCTTGTTTATTCTTGATGTCCTTGTTTGATTGTATAGTTTCTTGTCTTTAACGTTTGTTTTATTTTCCTGTACAGCCTGTACTTATGAATATACCTGTCTAAACAACTTTGTTTTGTCAAGTGGCTTTTCTTTTCCTCTTGTTGTTCTGATTATTATTTGAATATCACTCTTCCTTAATAATTGAGGTACTTTCTCCTACAGAGAAACAACCATCACCACATGTGATTTCATCTTTAATGGGCATGCTCGCTAAAAAAAAAAAAGCTGTCACCAGGTGCCTTGCAGTTTGCCGTCAATGCAGTGTCCTTAACTGTGTGATTATTACTCACTGTCTTACCAGTCCTCTTCTTTCACTCCTTCAGTTTCCATTGGGTCTGGTTGTTGTCGGTTTTGTCTCCATTGCTAAAACGTATATATTTCAAATTGCTTTCTTGCCATTTTGTCTGTGGTTTCATGAGGGTGAAGGGATGGGAAGGATGGCTGGTGTAATGGTCACTGCTTTTTTTTCTATCAAGAAGTGAATGGAGTGACTTTTATTTTGATTCAAGCAGAGTGGTCAAACCACAGTTTTCAACCATTTAAAGAGTAGAACTGCATTCTGGGAGGTTGAATTCAATTGGCAGATTTATTACATGAGTAAAAGAATCTACTTTTTACAACAGAGTGGAAGAACTTGAGAGTTGAGATCAGCATCATTTTTGCTCCGTCTCCCTTGGTCTCGTCCTTTTCTCTCTTAATTCTTCATGTGCAACCTGTCCTCTGCTAGTTTTTCGTCTTATCCTCTTTGCTCCTTTTCCCTCCCTGACCGAATTATTTTGCCCTCAGGAGACGAGTTGCTCGGGATGGATGGCGCACGCTATTTGAAGCTTGACGACTTCAAGGACCAGGACGATGACTTCCTTTCTCCAAAAAAAACCCTCAGAGACTTTGAGGGTGGCATGGGTACCACGTAAGTCATCATTTACTTTCCTTTGTCACGCATTTGTGTTATCTGATGAATGAGTGCTGCAGGTGACAGTAGAAGTGGAGTTTTCAACTGTTTTTGACACATATTCATGACCACCTTACATAATAGATGAGGTTAAATGGGATTGTGGGTTTCATTGAATGGTTTGCATAAATATACCCTTGGGTCTTCTCTTACATTAGTCTTTCTTCCTCTCCCACAGACCTTATTCTCCCGCAATACCCAGGATCCCCTGCGTGTCCCCAGAGACTGTACTTTTGGATCAGGTAGGATTAACTCGTGCTGTTCAGAGGGCGCTATATGTTTTGTAAGCATTTGTTTCTTTAACCAAATGCAGACAGATGTTAATTTGTGAAATAAACATACATTTTTAGTTAGTCTATTAGTCTTGGTTCCTCAAAATCCCCTCTTTTAGGTTGTCTCCTCCTGTATTCAGGCTCTGTTGGTTACTGTTTCTTCCATTTCTTCTCCTCAACTATTCTCTCTCCTCAAACTATTTAACTTTTTTGTTGGTATTTTCTGCAGCTTTTGTCAGTCTTAATTTTTTTCTGTCATGATTATTTCAGTGCCTTTACGTTTTTCAATGTCTGTCTTCGTTATTCCTCTCTGACCTCAGCACACTCCAGTCCCGTTGCCAAAGGAATATGATGATGACTCTCTAATCCCAAGTAGTCCGGCTACAGAGACTTCAGATAATGTCAGCCCTGTGGCCAGCCCTATTCACACCGGGTAAGATAACAAAACATATAATACAGGCAATCCATTGCAAGTCAATTTAAAAAGCCAAGGGGATAGCATAAAGGGCTGAATGTACAAATCTAACAAAGAAACACAAGCAATGGTATCATTTTGGCATCAGTTAATATAGTAAAGGCTTTGTTTTGATGGTTTTGAAAAGCACAAAACTTTTTTGAAACTTGTTTCTGGCATCAAATTCAAAATGAGCCTATAATATCCATAAACAATGACATTTCTCAGTTTCAACATTTGATGAGGCTTCTTTGTGCTACTTTCAAGAAAACATTCTGTTTTTTTTTTTTTCACATTACACACAACGTCCCAACGTTATTACATTCAGGGTTGGTAGAAATTTGCTGATGCATTAGTTTTAACACACACACATTCACATCTATAAAAGAAGGATCATCATTCATCATTGCTGTTAGGACACTGCTCACCAACTAATTTTGTCACAATATGTGCACAAGTCAAACATATAACAACTGAGCCCTGTTTTCTATGAAATGTAATAATAATAATAGTTTATCCTTTATTAATCCCGCAAGGGGAAATTCAGCTTTACACTCTGTTTAATGAACATGCTACACACACATAGGCCGAAATACACACACATGCACAAACAGGATCCTCTGGCGTTAATGGAGAGGTCTCAGAGTGAGGGGGCTGCCCACAGCGAGCGCTCCAGAGCAGTTTTGGGGTTAGGTGCTTTGCTCAAGGGTACCTCGACAGTGCTCAGGAAGTGGACTGGCACCTCTCCAGCTACCAGACCAATTTGCCGGGACTTGAACGGGCGACCCTCTGTTCCCAACCGAAGTCCCTACAGACTGAGCTACTGCCGCCCATGCAGGATTCCATGATTCCTTTAATGCAGCAGAGTTAACTTATTGAGTGTGCTTAGTCATAATATATGCACAGCACAATGAGTCAGCATTTGAGTGGAAGAATAAAAAGTGCAGGTGTTGGTGGGGGAATGATGAACTCATGAGAAGAGAAGAGTCATCTTGTGTCACACACACACGCTCACACACACACACACACACACACACACACACACACACACACACACACACACACCAATACACACACACCAACACACACACACCAACACACACACACACACACCAACACACACACACTTCTGTGTGAAGCGGTCTGTCTAGTGCAGGATTAAACATCAGGGCTCTCTTTGAAAAATCTTTTCATGTCATTCTCCCAAAGTGGCCTGAATGAAAAATGAAAAACACACAATGAAAACTTAAACTCGAATTAAACAAATCCAATAATGCTCAATAAACCACAAATTGATTTTATATTTTATTGGGAAGAATCCCTGTTTGTACAGCCCAGTGATTCATTGTTTTAAATTCATATTATTTTGTGGAATTTAATCATAAGAAGTTTCAAGACGCTCAAAAGATCATCCAAATAATGTTTGTTTTACTCGTCTCACTGTTTGACCTTCAGCTTCCTGGTGAGTTTCATGGTGGATGCTAGAGGAGGCTCCATGAGAGGTAGCAGACACCACGGCCTGAGAGTCATCATTCCTCCTCGAACCTGCACTGCCCCAACGCGCATTACCTGCCGTCTGGTTAAACCTCAGAAACTGACCACACCACCCCCCCTGGTGGAGGGAGAGGGGCTTGCAAGCCGTATCATCTCTCTTGGGCCATCCAGTATGCAGTTCCTTGGGTAAGTCAGCCTCTTGCTTGGCTTATTAACTTTATTTTAATAGATATTGTGTATTATATCTATATGTGCATTTATGCTTCGAACATGTGGCAGTCCTTACATTTAAGACATTTCATATTTTCCTGAAGTTTTCCAGTATGAAGATGAAAAGATTTTTAAAATAATGAGCATGTCAACACAAACAAAATTAGTAGGAAGTAGGGATTAATTAAACTAGACTTGTGCAATATCATCACAAGCATTTGCTGTACCTCCTGTCGTGTAAAAAAATATATTTGAAGGTAATGATCGTGATAACATATAGCGGACATTGTGATGTTTGCATATCAAAGGGTGAGACTTTGAATTGCGAGCCTTTTTCTAGCAATCTCAGAAAAATCAAATTTTTAAACCATCAACCCCATTTTGAAGCTTGTTTATTTCTAATTGTAAACTGATGCATCATGCTCTGTGAGTTGAGTTTCAGCACTAGCCTGAAATCTGTTTCAATTGTGCTTCTTTCTCAGGCCTGTCATAGTGGAAATTCCCCACTTTGCCTCGCTGGGCCGAGGGGACAGAGAGCTGGTGGTCCTGCGCAGTGAAAATGGCTCAGTCTGGAAAGAACACCGCAATCGCTATGGTGACGAAGTGCTGGAAACTATTCTAAATGGCATGGACGAAGGTCAGTGTGATGGTAATGAATGAGTGTTTCTGAAGCCTTGCATGGTTTAAGATAAATCAGTCCTAATCTTGATGAATGACCCTTGAGCTGCAGAACAAGGGCACGAGGAGGGGATGCTTAGTTTATAGGAAGGCTGTCTTAGCAAGGACACAGAATTAGTTTCTGTCAACTGAACATGTGTTATTCTAAAGTGGAGTTTATGATGCTCACTTGTGCTTTTGTAAAACTATAAAATGTCTCAATTCATCGTTCTCTCTATGTCTCTTTCTTCTATCTCTTGCCTGTCTTTATTTTTTCCTGCGTGCAGACTTAGAGAGTCAAGACGAGCTGGAGAAGAAGAGAATCCGTCGGATCATCTCCACTGACTTCCCGCTCTACTTTGCTGTGGTCTCTCGCATTCAGCAGGAGAGCGATCTGATTGGCCCAGAAGGCGGCAGGTTGACCAGTAAACTTGTGCCCCATGTGGATGCCATCTTCCCTGAGACAGCTGTCACAAAGAGAGTGAGACTGGGACTGCAGGTAAGAAGAGGACCAGCAATCAAGAGACAAGACACAAGAGGTGGACAGAGGTGTTATGAGTGAGCAGGAATAAAGATGAGGAAAGCAATTGTATTCCTGATAAAACATGGTGGTTGCTAGTTTTGCTTGAGCAACGAAGCAATCTGCTGCTTTTGAGAAATGATCTTTTCCAGATGTTTAAATACCAACACAGGCTGTGATTGAAGGGTCTAGAGCAAAGTCTTTACAGGAGCATGCTGGGAGCTGACAGACTCCCCATAATGAAGTTGATGTAACCAGTCATTGAGATGGAACTTTAACGCTTATTCCTGACTGCAAAAACGCTTTTAGTTTTTAATTGTCTTCTGTATTGTTGATGTTTAAAGGCAGTTATGAGTAGACGCATGAGTTGATTGGTCTATGACGAGCAGCAAATTCATCCATCAATCCATTTTTTTTTATAGCACTTTTACTGTTCGGGGTCGAGGGGTGGGGGCATCAGTTATCACAGCATTGGGAGGAGAGGCGGGGTACACCCTGGACTGCTCGCCAGCCAATCACAGGGCGGACATGACAGACAAGCAGCCACACTCACATTCACACCTATGGGCAATTTTACAATCACCAAATGACCTAAAGAGCATGTCTTTGGACTGTGGGAGGAAACTGGAGTAACCCGAGAGAACCCACACATGCACGGGAGAACATGCAAAGTCCACATAGAAAGGCCCTGTCCAACAGGGATTTGAACCAGCAACCTCCTAGCTGCTGGGCAACTGAGCTAACCACTGCAGTCCTAGATTCATTTATGATTCAGTTGAATTCTGATCCATGTTTTTAAACAGATGGTGTTTTTTGCTTATTTTAAACCTTTTTTTTTTTCTGCAAATCACTTACATTACATGTTTAATGCAATATGTATTTAGGAAACATATATGTAATCAAACTAATCAAAATGAATCTAAAACTGAAACCAAGCTTAGTCTTAAATACATGACTTAAATAAGGTACTTTAATATGCATCCAAAACAAGTCAGCAGTTAGGTAAAATAGGAATATATATAATATACTGTATATGGTTTTATTTATTGGCTATCATTTTTAAAACACTGATGTAGTTCTTTGCAATACGAGAAATTGGACTTTTTTCTGTTAGATAGAGAATCATAAAATGACCTTGCTATATCATCAGTCATCGGTTTGCCAGATATGAGGTCAGTCATCACAGCAAATCAACAGGGTGTCTTCAGGACTCCGATTGTCCATCCATAAAGATGGACACTTTCCACAGCGACCTCTGCCATCAATATGTGAATGGTTGTTAATGGGTATGTGTGACCTGCTTTGTAAGAGCTTCTGTAGCTAGAAGACTAGAAAAGCACTATACAAGCTCAAGTCTGTTTACCATTGTCTGACATGAACGAACAACAACAGGATCATTTAAATATCGCTTAAGTGTGATTGATGAATGGAAGAATATGACATCAGCTTTTTTAGCTAAGCTCTGCCCTCTTCAGGTCAGTGAGAATATTAGGACAATAACAGAACTAGAGACTTCCTCATTTACAACTTAAACTTTCTAAATTTGGTTGAATTATGACCTTCAGATAGAAACCCTGATTTTGAAAATACATTTGTGGAGGCCTTTTAAATTGCTTGCAAGTTTTACAACATCATTCCTTACCATGCACATACTGTAATCAATGACCAGGTGGCATGACCTGAGGAGCATCTTAGCCGTTCACACCATACTGCATCATTTCTACATAAACCTTTGCAACACGTGATGTCTGCCTGCCATACAGGAGCTTTTGGCAAACGTGTGGCTGACTGTCACTCATCCAGACCTCCACAGACACACATATGGGAGCTTGGCAAACACTCGTGCTGACTGTCTCCTTTTACACCACACCTCCGCTTGGCTTTGTTTGTCATGACAGAATGATTATGTAGGATTATGGGTTCCACATTTTGATTTTTTTTTTAACCACTTTGGTGTACATTGCCGACTTTGTCTGTCAAAGCACCGATTTGTCACCGTCACTGATGCTTTTTAAGGAAACCGCATGAGTTTTGCTTTGCCTTATGCTGCTCTGTTTATGTTTTCCTTTTATCCAGCCATTCATCACTCCTCAGTTGCCTGATTTAAGTTGTGAGCCACACTGACCGAGCTGATGCACTGATCTGAGCTGGGTCAGGTGTGAAATATGAATTGGTTGCATGTGTGAGTATGGCTGAGAGTTTGATGTTTCAGCTTTTTGCACGTGTGTTTCTCTGTTTTCCTTTTGCTTGCTCTCCTTATTTGTGTTTCCTGCCTATTTGCTATCCTTCTCACCTACACTTGCTTTAAGGTTATATTGTGCTCAACTTTATTCTTATTTATTATTATTCATTTATTCAGCCTTCCTTCGCTTTATATCTCTTAAACTGTTTTCTGACATCCTTGTATTTATGACCTTTTCCTTCAACACTACCGTCACAGGCGCAGCCCATCCCAGATGAGCTGCTGACTCGGCAGCTTGGCAACCAGGCGACCTTCAGCCCAGTGGTTACCATTGAACCGCGCCGACGCAAATTTCACCGTCCAATCGGGTTGCGCATCCCTTTGCCGCCCTCCTGGAGGGAGAGTCCTCGGGATGCTGGGGAGGGTGATACCACCAGCTTGCGGCTGCTCTGCAGTGTCATCGGTAGGATCCATTTTTCAGTTCATCAAAAAGACCATCATTTATCTTTAAACAATGACACTTTATCAATTCACTTTATCTGAATGTACATAAAATGTGTTATAAAAGGGTGTGTGTAGCCATCATTTATCAGTACACGACTGACACTGTGTGGTTGTTGTGTCCCAGGTGGAACAGCACCGGCTCAGTGGGAGGACATCACTGGAACCACCAAGCTGATGTATGCCCACAACTGTGCAAACTTCACTACCAATGTTTCTGCCAGGTGAGTAATCAAGACAAATATGTTCCCAGTCAACGTTTCTTCAATTCCGTCTTGCACTGCTGAGTTTCAAACAAGTATTCGCACCGCTTCCAACCTTTTCATCCATGTTATACAGATTCTGGCTGGCAGACTGTCCTCGCACAGCAGAGGCAGTGACCTTTGCCAACTTGCTATATCGGGAGCTGATGGCTGTTCCATACATGGCCAAGTTTGTGATTTTTGCCAAGATGAATGAAGCTCGCGAGGGACGCTTGCGTTGTTATTGCATGACAGATGACAAGATGGACAAAACGCTGGAGCTGCATGAAAACTTCACTGAAGTGGCCCGCAGTCGAGACATTGAGGTCAGCCACAGGGAAATGTCCACAGGGTCACAAAAGGAAAAGAAGTGGTCGTCATGGCAACCTCAAAAATAGTTGACAGTGCAAAAAATGCACATATAAGATAGTTAGTTATGTCCACTCTTTTAAGCAATTATCTCTTGTTTCTAATGAATGAGTCACATAATTAGAATTGTGTTTCAGCTGATGAAAAGTCTGTATTAAAAGATACAAAGCTTTTTTATATGATTTAAAAAAATGTACACATCTGGTTTATGGCTATCAAAACCTTCCCATTCCAGATGAATTGTTCTTGCAAGTAGAGATTTCTACAGTACAAGTAGTCAAAGTTTGTGATCACAATCGATACTCTCTCTCTTTTTTCAAGTGTCAAAGTGTCTTTCTCACCTTCTGCCTTTTGTGACACTCTCCACAGCTGATGGAGGGCATGCCGCTGCACCTCGAGTGTTCTGGAAACCTAGTGCCGATCAGGAAGGCCACCCAGCAGCCTCGCAGCTTCAGCTTCCAGGCCTTCAGAGATAACAGGCTGCCCGTCTCTGTCAAGGTCTGTCTCTATGAGAGCGCCCATATGCCTGCCCTTCTATCACATGCTACATATTCGTTCTGTACTGTGGTGGTGTTTGTTCAGTTGGTGGTTTCAGTGTGTCAAGGATCCTCTCAGCAGTCGGTCTCCCTCCTGGGCACTCACCTGCTGTTCACATGGTGGTTTTTGTGTGTTTGCTTTTCTCCCTCATATCTCTCAGGCAGTTCTCAGTGTGTCCTACCATTAGCATGTAAAATTGATGATAGCAGAATAGCACAGTGTCCTCGCAGACCTCATTTAGGGCCACAGCAACACCACACCAAGAAAGATACTTCTACACCTGCAAGAAAGAGTGAAACAAAAAAAAGAAAGCTTAACTGTAATTTCAAGTCTAATCTTCAAGTTAAGAAAGTATAGAACTGTATTTATGTGAAGATGTATCAATATGGACTATTATTATTGATCATTATGACATTTCCGTGTATGTCTGTCAGTCCATTTTCATTTTGGTCAAACTATCCTAGTTTTTTCAACAAACAACAAGTTAAACATCAACATTTGTCTCACGTTTTTTTTCTTTTTCTTGCCTTTCTTAAATGTTTTTGATCAATGTGGTATAATGAAACACCTTCCTAAAGAGTATTGGTACATTATTATTAAAGTGTTCGAGTAGTTATGAAAATAATTACTGTTAATTTAATCTTTTTTTGTACTTCCGACTTTACTGATGTTGTTTTAACCCCTTCCCATGCACAGATGATTTGAGATTTTTAACCTACCTGTGCATTTCTATGTCTGTCTCATCATTTTAATGTAACTTTTTTATTGGGTTATGAAGTCATCCATCTATTTGTGTGTCCTCGTCTTTCTCTGTGTGTGTCTGTCAGTGTGACACACACCACTGTCCATTGTCAGATAGAGGAATACTCTGATAAATATATTTTCATGATGTTAGCCAAGCAACAAACAACTTACCTATCTTACCTGTCAGCTCTCTTGGGTAATTGTTTGCATGTCCTGTGACTCCCTCACTTTCTTTGCCTGCCTTCCAATCTTGCGGCCTTGCCTGTCTGTATGTGTCTGTCTCACTGTCTCTCTTTCTCTCTCTCACGGTCACTCTGTATCTGTCTGGTCTGACAGACGTCCAGGTAAATGTGCAGGTAAATCTCTCCCTCTCGCCTGCCTGTGGACTGCTTCCATCCCTGTTTCCCCCTGCTTCTCGTCCCATGTTAGTGCGGCACATGCTCGCGACATTGTGGAGGGATCTAATGCCTGTTTTGATCTGTTTTTCTTCCTCTACCTCCTCCTTCCTTCACACGTTCACTCTTCTTTCATTCTGTTCTGTATCTGTCTCTCATTTTGTCACTTTCTTAATTTTCTCTTTGCTCCATCTGTCTTTTGCACATTTTGTTTTCTTCACTTTTCTCTCTTGCCTTCCTCTGTCTGGTTTCCTTTCCTTCATTTTCTCTGTCTGTACTCTACTTTTCTCCGTCTCTCTTTTTCCTCTTCTTCTTCTTCTTCTCTCTGTCTGCCATCTCTTTATGTTAGGTGAGAGATAGTAACAAGGATGCCATCGGCTTTTTGTCCTTCCTGCGGAAATGCACCAAGTACGAGGATACACAGCATGTACTGTGTAACCTTAACATTACGATGCCACCCTGCGTCAAGGTAACGACTTTCTTGCAAACCTGTTCCAACAAACACACAAAAAAAAACATAAACATTGAGAGTAAGTTTCTCTAAATTCCAAATGCATATTGAGACAAACAGTTTGGTGACATTCTCTGTAAAGCACTCTGTTTTATAAGTAACTACACAACAGCTAATTTGAGTTCTTGCTTACCAATAGTCACATCTGAAAGGCTAAAGAACACAAACCCTCTTGTTGTATAAAATAACATAATTTGACACAATTTGAGCGTGTTCAATATTTGAAAGGTAATATTTTTGTCGTATATGAAACGTATAATTGTCAATCCATCTACAATGTCATATATTCTGGAAATTTTTTCGATTTTTTTTTTTCCACTCTTCTTTCATACAATTAATTTTCACAAAAAAGCATAATTGTTGTCGTCATTGCACAAAAGATACAGTTTCAGTCACAATTCAAAAGATACTTTCCTTTAACGCCTACCCTCTAATTGGAGTGGGCTATCTAATTAAATTAAGAAGGGGACCATTTTTTATTGCACAACCTTTAGAACAAATTTTGACAATTACAGGAGAATTCAATTTAGAACATTGTTGGACTGCGCTAAAGATATTTCTATAAAATCAAATCACCCATAAAAAAAAAAAATGAAATGAAAGTAAATGCGTATTTTGTAGGATGTCATTGAACCAGCAGTCCTCTAGAGGTCTATATATATTCCATTTTCATACAGGCTCCATATTGGACATTAGGAAGCCCTTTACGGATGATACTTGAGACATTCATTTAGATGTAATTTTGAGGCCACGTTTCATGTTTTTTAGGTGGTTGGAAGTGAAGAGCGTCGGCGAACTTTAACACCCCTCGCCTTGAGGGAACGCTACAGTGCACTGAACGAGCCTGGTGTGGGTGAGTGCTCTACTGCCTGACTTTCAGCCCTCTCCTGATTTATACAAAGTGGAGATGGGCACTGAATGTTGCACTGTCCCTTTACCCACGACCCCTTCGCTTCCCACTCTGCCCTCTTTATTTCCCCCTACTGGATCGCGTGCACGCATGGCACAGAAACTGAGCCTTGGATGCAATGCAATGCTCTATGGCGTGCCCCAGAGTCCTTTGCGGAGCAGTTAGATTCATATTGAATGTATGACCAAAAGATTAGCACTAGTCCCTAACATGACCCAAAATGGCTCCATCATGACACATTGCAAATTAGACTTGTTCTTATTAAGTGTCCTGGGAGCTATGACAACAGATGAATGACTTGATTGGTTTGCATGGCGCTGGTGTCTCCACTGCGATTTCCAATGGCATGGCAGCAGATATGGTTAGCATTAGCCCTGTAGCTTAAAACTGGGAATGGGCAGGACCTCGCAGTGGAGCTAGACAGAGGAGTCCTTATATTGATTGGCCTGTGGTAAATGAACAGAGTCAAAATGGCCATCCTTGTTAAAATTGTTGCTGATTGGGGGTTTGAGGGAGAAAGGCCTTTTCTGTCTACCAACTACACAGCGCTGCTACATTGCACAGTCCCTCTGTAATGGTTGATGAATGCTACTTTGATTGGTGGGACTAGCACCTGAATGAAACCCAAAGTCTAACCCCTGCCCAAGTGGTGTGCTTACCCCGGAGATTATTTGGAGAGAAACAATGTTTTGGGTATTGCTTATTTCCTTCAACAGAGCAATATTTTTGACAAGGTAAGTATCATTGTAGGATTTTTAATAAAACTCAATTCAACGCCAGTCAAAAACTGTACATCTTATAATCTATTTGGACCTGTCAGTATCTGAGTATCTGTGAGTGATTCATATTTGGGTAGTCCCAACTTGACGTTTTCCCTCCTTTTACTGCACCTTGAATGTCAGTGGGACTGTCCAAATAAACTGTAACTTAGAAGTGATCTCTCTCTTCATATATTTTATTCTACTCACAGTTAGAGTTACAGTTTTCTTAGTTCAATAAATTTGAACTTATATCTTGGTGACCCTCGCATTTTTTATTTTCTTATTAGCTACAGTGAATGCAATGGAGAGGACTGAGATAAAGATCAACATCATATCTGAACAGCTGGGTTTGAGCTGGGCAGGTAAGTGGTTTAAACACCAGAGGGGCCACTGTGTGTTCTCACTCAAACATATTACTGAGAAGTTCCCACTTTGGGGTACACTTTCTGCATTGAGATGGCTTGAGACGACTGTAACAAGAGGAGGGAAATCTCCTCCCTCAATAAGAGACAATGCATCTTAATTTTATCATTCAGAAATCTATTTTTCTCGTCTACCTCTGAAAGCCTTTTCTGTCATCATTACTTGCTAACGGGACTTGTCTTTTAACTCTCAACAAATGGAGCTAACTACTCAATGACAGGCCTCTAAATATACCATGCCATGTATGATATGCCAGCCTCTTTGCTAAAGAGTTTTTTTTTTGTCAAAACAGGAGCTTGGGTTATGCTTACATTACTGCATCCATACAGCTCAGTCTGTAACCAAACAGTAACACCAGGCACCTTGGCTGAACTCTCCAACTGAGTAGCATTAGCTATGCCTGCTCCCACTTAAAGTATAGCAACTGACTCGACTTCTAGCCAAACTTGAACACTAGTAGCTCTTACCCCTTTGATGTTGAGTGTTTGGAAATGATGATTAAAATGTAGAAAGAACTCATTTCCTGCAGCGAACGCTTTGAAGGAAAAAGGCTCTCGATTCAGTAAAACACCTGATAACCATTTGCCTGCACCGAACTGCCTTTCTTTGGCACCCCCCGGCTTGCCAAGGCAGATCACCTTAGGTCCTCCATTACAGGGCTTATAAATCGTCTGGCTCATTGCTGCGGGCTCTGAATGCCTCTTCTGAAAGCCTGGCACATCATGATGAGCTACAAGAGCAGATCACAGTTTCACAAGCAACTGTGTTGAAGGAAGAAATTTGTTTTAATTCTGACAATTCCCTCTCCAAGTTTCCTTGCCTACTACGGCATGGGGCATTGTTAGGTGGGGGTTGTTTCTGTTTGTATAAATCCAATGAAGAAATCGTGAAACAGACTGGAGATTATAACACCATTTAATCGGCCGAGGTCAGACAACTTCATCAAACAAGATATGCTTCCAAACCACTTGACTGACAAAGTGCTGACAAAGTAACAGTGTTCACAGTGCTGCTTATATTCTGTCAAAAAGGTGCAACCCACAAATTCCTTTCTATTTGGGTGCATCACCATAAAACAATAAAGATGACATGACACTGATTTGTATACGTAACAGATGTAGACTCTCTGTCTAGCAAACAGTTGCTGACAACATATAGTTGGCTCCTATCCAAATATAGACCTGCTACTACTTAGGTGCTTCACCCATATAAGGTTACAGCTTCAGACACCTAAAGGTTGGAGTGTTAACAGGTGGTAGACAGACTTGAATAATACATTTCACAAAGTTACCAAGATGAATGAATTTCATGAAAAGTCGTACTAACAGGCATCAAACTCCAGTGCTCACTGTACAAGAGAGTAGAGACGATGCTGCATCATCTCCTATGCATGAAGAGAATGTCCCTCCTCTTATGGCAGTGATCAGTGAACTGCAAGACAGAAGGCATAATGGCAAAGGGTCCTGAAGACTACAAAGAGGGGTGTACCCCTTAGTGAGATATCTCCTTCTCTATGTGTACGTCTTTATATTTTATTTATTCATGCATCTGATCTTGTCCACTTGCCAGAGTTGGCGCGTGAGCTTCAGTTTGGTGTGGATGACATCAATAGAATCCGTGTGGAGAATCCCAACTCACTTCTGGACCAAAGCTCGGCCCTGCTCAGCCTGTGGGCCAGCAGAGAAGGCAAAAGGGCCAAGAGTAAGTCCCATGACACAGCAGATCTAGTAGAAATGACCTACTAGCCACTGAAATCAGTTTTTATTAATCAGATTAGAGGAAACCAAATCTCTAGGGTTCTGTTCCAATAGAATACTATCCTGTCCTTGTGCACATACCTCTCTGTTCCTCTATTGTGTTTTTAATCAGTCTACCAACCAATCTCTATGTTTTTGCTCCCCCCAGTGGAAAGTCTGTACACTGCTCTGAAAAACATTGACCGTGCAGACATCGTCACATCTCTGGAGGGTCAGGCTCCACAACCAGCACCAGGTTCTTTAGAAGAGGGTGCCTGTCGACTCATCGACCGTGACTCCTCCCTGCTGTCGCCAAGCGTCATCAATGGTAAGACTCACAAACACATCAAACATCATAAAAGACATTCAGGGCCTGATTCACTAAGAATGAAATGCAGCTGCTAACAGCTCTGAAAATTCTTCTCACTCTCAGGTCTAATTCACAAAGCATATTCTAATGATATTCAGTTGTAATACCCAAAATACCCAAAGAGTTGACCTGCTCCATGCAGTTTACTCTTGTTTTGCCTCTGAATATGGAAAGAAGCTATCTGCACCTTTAGTCTGTGTGGAGCTGCCCTATCATACCGATGGAGCACCATTTTGTCAATATAATGAAGATAATGAGCTTGGAGGCCAGGGGAACATTTTTCAAGCTCAATGAGAGGCCAGGCTTGAAAAAAAGAATTACCAGTTTCACCTTTTATAACTAAACTTCAGTAGCTTCAAGCAGCTCGGAGGAAAAAAACAACATTAACATTGTCACTCGTAGCGGCTCCAGACCTCTCTCCATGTGGATTATGTGTGCAGGCTTGTATCTGCCAGGCAGAGCAGCTGACAGCCCCAGACTGATTTAGACACTGGTTATAGTATGTTAGTAATAGTAACATCAATGTAATATTTACAGACTTTGTTGACTTTGCACCATCTTTGCAGTCAAAAAAAGCCGTGCTATCTTTTTGTGAATCAGGCCCTCACTAATCAAATCAATATCTTTAAAATTAAACAGTGACTTACCGCACTGCATTACACAGTAAACAATATGCTGTGCTCTTCAGTAGGTTAACGACTTGTGTTTCCAGTACACTTGCACTTTGTTAAACCATGTTACCACGATTAGAGCATTTTAAATTTGCTATATAGAAAATGATAGTTGTAAATTCATTTGTGTTAATAAATAAGCCTTTCCTACTCCACTTGCGATACAAAAGTCCACAGGTTCTGGCCTTTTTCTTTAACGGTGAAAATAAAATAAACACATCTGTATTTTCGTTGTGGAACTGAATGTTAAATTGATTAATGTCCCATGACAATCCGAAATGATCAGAAATGGGAACTTCATAGGAATACAGGAATTTGGTAAAGCTAACTAACCCTAACCCCAGTAACCATGTTTTACTAAATACAGGTTGCATAGATATACAGTATTAGAAGAATTAGAACTCAGGGTGTTGGTCCCCTTCTCCTAGATTATTTCATCTATGCATTGTTTTCTTTGTTTTGTTGTTGTTCTTTCTTAAGAAAAGTGCTGTATTAGCCCAATTGTTATTATTATTAGTATTAAGATAATTCAAGTGAATATCTTAATGAAAAAAAAAAATAGTATTCCTTTAGGATTTTTTTTATCAAACCCTTTTTTGGCAAACAAATAGTATAGTCTACTAAAAATCTGAGACAAAGTTCTTCAAAACAATGAGGTGAGCTGTTGTTCTCTTATATACTCACCACCTCTGAAACTTCCCTCCTTCCTTTGACTGTGGGTAACAGCCATTGTACCTTGTCTCTGTTGCTCCACAAGAGGTCACGGACACAAGGCTATCGCGCCTAGTGCACAAGCCGCGAGTTATTAGACCCCCATTTTTCAGACGGGGTAAGTTGAAGTTGAACTTGGGCTGCATGGTGGTTTGCTGCTCATGACATGTACATGATGATGATGATGATGATAAATCTCAGATGATGTTTTGAGGTCTGAGGAATGGTGTCATTCTCCCACCATGAACCCGACCTTTGCAGCATGCACTAACACCGCCTCTGTGCATTCCTCACCGGATCAAAAGTCATGGTTTTGTCTCACACTTCATACTTGAGCCCTAAACATGATGGTTCTTGTTTGTTTGACTAAATATGAGAAAAGAGGACACATTCCCTTTTGCTGTTACTGACAAGGTTTTAAGAGTAAACTGGGACATTTCTAAGGCCAAACAGGATAACATTGAACATTTGGGTAATGCAAGATTTCAAACAAGGAGGCCTTTTGGATTGCTTGTGTATTTGTGAGTGTGTGTACAGTACACACATACATTTATGTGTGTGTATGTGTGCATATGTGTGTGTAAATGTCTGGGATGGATACATTAGTCAAAAATGTGGCAAGTACACAGATGATAGTGTGCTCTGGGCCTTCATACCTTGTTTCTATCCCTCCCTCTTTCGTTCTGTCTGTTCTGTCTGTCTCTTTCTTTCCCTGAGAACAAGACAGAATTTCCTTTCTGACTTTGCCAGACCGACAGCAGACTTTTTATCTGCCATGTTCCAGTGCTCTTTCAATTTTGTCTTATGCTCAGGACAATCTCTTTCTCCCTATCCTACTTTCACTCTATCTCTGAACCTATGACATGTCATATCTGCTGCCCAGCCGCCCTGCTACTCCTCCTCCTTGCTCCCTCTCCTGCTCTTCTTCCTCACAGCTCTTCCTGTCCGACCTCTGACCTCATATGACCTCATGTTGACCTCTGGGCCTCCTCTTCTCTTGTCATCTTATTTTCCCGTGCTCCTCCTTCGTTCAGTCGAGCGGGGACCCTCTCCTCCTCTTCCTCTCTCAATCCAGCTCTGTGTGTGTACTACCGTTTGTGCATGTGCATGCTGCACGTTTTCTGTTACAGTATCTGTTTGTGTGTATATGCAAATGTGTTTGTGTGTGAGCCTGTATCTGACTCTGACCTTGGCTTTTGTTTTTTGAGGCGTTCTTTTTTTTTTTTTTAGAAAGTCAAGTATATCCCTTAATTTAGTTCAGCAAGGAATTTATGTATGAATATTTTTTGTTCGTATCACATGCAAGATGAAATAGGCTTAGTTTTCTCCTTTTATTTTTAAAAATTTAATTTAATTTTTACCCAGGTTAAGTCAATATGCCTTTGTCTGTACAGTAACTGGCAGTGAGGGATTGTTTTTTATTGTGGCATTTTATGTGCATGGCATGCTTTTAATGTATGAAGTGTTCTTCACTGTGTAAAATGTTTTCCTCTGTCCAATGGGTGTATGTATTTCAGTATTGTTTTTTAATGCTTAACGACAAACAAATGATTTTCTTTATTTTACTGTAAAATAAATGGTGTGTCTTTTGATGCTATGCTGTAAAACATGATCACGTGCGTAGGACTAACTTTCATCGTATAATGTTGCTGAGATGTCTTTCATTCACGGGCAAAATAGCTAAAGTTCCTCACTGTAAAACAGCTCAGCACATTTGTTTACACAACTGTTTCATTTTTGCAGTCAAAATACTGAGCGTTCTACGCAATTATGTTGAGCGCCTACAAAAAGTCAAATAAATTATGTCTCTGATGACATTTAAAACAATCTAAATTTCTTGATCTTCGTTTTGCCCTGGTCTGATGACAGACTCACTGTCAACATTTTCTGAACGTTATCTGACAGAAGGAACTTTGATTTAAGGTGTGTTTTTGTTTTGGCTTGGGTGTGTGTGAAAGTGATTTTAAGACTGTGAGCCAAATATGTGTGTCCTCATCTGTGTTTGAATATGAGTGCAGTATTGTGAGTTTGTGTACATGTGTGTGTACAGTGGTACAGTGAGAAGCGTGCTGTGCAGTTTTGTCTGTTTTTTTTTCTGTTGTGGGTTTTTTTTTGTCTTTGTGGAGTTTCTTTGTGCTTCACTACATCATGTGCCTTTGACACCAGTGCGTGTGTTTGTGTTTAAAAAGCAGGAAAGGCTAACCCAGATTCAACTTACTCATTCTAACTCTCATTCTAATCATAACTCATCCCCTCTTTGTCCACCTCATTCTGACGACACCCCTCATCTTCCTGGCCCTGTACCATCCCAGAAACACACACACACACTCACGCTTACTCACAAACACATTAAGAGACAGTAGGTAATAGAGTAAAGAGGTATTTCACCCATTCATGTTTCTTTAACTGCTATGGACCTCATTAGGTTTTAGCAACACAGTTGTTATGGCAACAATTGACTATTTTAATTTTGGTAAACAAGATGCTGGTAAAAATCCACATTTATTTATTTAACTGACTTTAGAAACATTTGAAATCTAAGAATAGAAGTAACACTTATTTGCAAATCAGTTAAGTCAGACTCAGTGTATCACTCAATCACTATTAGCTCAAAGCTTGACTGATGACAGTCACTAGATATGTACATCATAGAGTTGTTTTTGAAAAAACGATACATCGACTTTTATTGAAAATTTGCAAACACTTAAAGTGAATCACTTTGAGGATCTAGTTATAATGCTAAACCGTTGGATTAATCATAGTATGGAGTTAGCGATGCCACTGACTTTCTGTCTAAGAATGTATACATCAAAGTTTCTACACTGTGAATTTACTCATTCAAGTAAAAAAGGTTGTGTTAGAAATGGATGGGGCTATAAAATATAGGTCTTTTTATACTGTGTGTCCTTCCTTTGTCTCTTCCTGATCAGGATAATGGCAGGTAGTCCTGAATTTTACAATATTTCATTAATATTTTAAGTCATGCTTTGACAGTAAATTTGTAAAAAAAAATACTAAAAAATACTACCAGGAGTCAAAGGTTTGTCATAAAACCGTTATGGTGATTGTCACACTTCATCCTTTTTTTCAAAGCTCCACCTCAGCCACGCTGCTGTTAAGGCTTTAGATTTTAGATGTGTCAGGTTTTACCGTTAGCTTGACAGTTGATAGCACATCTGGATGGTGAAGTACTTCTTTACTGGTCAATTTCATCGAATGTCATTCATCTGAATTCATTGGTCCAACAATTTACCAATAATTTATGTAAAGATATGATCCCCAATCCAAACCTCTAGCAGTAACATGATATACGGCTTTTAAGCTTAATGCACTTAACTGTCCAAAGTATAAAACCTTACTGTCAACTATTTATTTAACTTTAAGACATGTATTCATGTATGAATATAAACATTACAGGTAGATAAAATATAATGAATCAAATGGCCAATCAGCCAGCCTAGTTATAAAAAGGGAAAATTAAGACCTGTTACAAAAGCTCTTATTCAAAAAAATATTGATAATTAATGTATCAAACGACTAAACCTTGATTACAATTCAACTAACACATAAAAAGTACTTGACATCATATGTACTATAAATACATACAGTATATAAATCTATATACTGTATATTTTTTGATGGATGGATGGATGAGTGGATGGATGGATAGTGCGTAAGATGGATGGATGGATGGTAAGATGGGTGGATTGATGGTAAGATGGGTGGATTGATTGTTGGATGGATTGATGTATGGAAGGTAAGATGGGTGGGTGGATGGATGGATGGTGGATTGATGGATGGAGGGTAAGATGGGTGGATTGATGGATGGAAGGTAAGATGGGTGGATTGATGGATGGAAGGTAAGATGGGTGGATTGATGGATGGAAGGTAAGATGGGTGGATGGATGGATGGATGGATGGATGGAAGGTAAAATGGGTGGATGGATGGATGGGTGGATGGATGGAAGGTAAGATGGGTGGATGGATGATGTATGGATAATTAGATGGATGGATAGATGAATGAAATTATGGACAATGGATGGATGGAGAGACAGATTTACAACAGTATTATTGTACCTTCTTTGTACATAAATATAACAATATAAAACATTATAAAAATACATAATTGAATTTGTGTGTTTTGTAGTGTGTTTGTATGGGTTCCTGTGTATTTCGCGTGTGTTGTTACAGAAGGATGTTTTGTTAATTAAACCAAATTAAACAAGTTTTAGATAAAAGTCAAATTATTTTTTATCCATCGCTTATTATATTGATTCTGCATTAATTCACTTATTTTTTTAAATAAATATTTTGTTTGTTTATGAGCATTGTACATTTTTTCATAAAAATCCACAGAGCAGTTATGAAAAACTGGAGACCAGGTTTTAGTATTGTAAATAAAGTTAATCAGCGGGCACATCAGTTTGTCTAATGTATGTGTGTTGGTATGTGGTTGTTTGTGTGTGTGTATGTGGTGTGTGTGTGTGTGTGTGTGTGTGTGTGTGTGTGTGTGTGTGTGTGTGTGTGTGTGTGTGTGTGTGTGTGTGTGTGTGTATGTATTAGAGTGTGTCTACATGGTGTGCAGAAGAGAGTGTGCATAATGAACTTTTTTTTTTAATTCTTGGGACACAAACATATGAATGCATGACTGATGTGTAACCACAGGAGAATGCAAGAGCAACAGTAACTTGCACCTAAAATCTGCAAGATGCTGCTTGCTCTGATTTATAAATGTACAAGAAGGGTTGGAACGATAATGGAGATGGTTTATTCAAAATGTAATCCCTAATCTAATACGCTGTCTAAAATACTTTCTCATTCCTTAAAAAAAGTAAGAACACCCAGTCTCTGTAGTGGCCAATCAACACAAACAGTGATCTAAATCCTACAGCCTACATTGAGATTTTGTGTTTTCTTGTCTCTTAATGAGCTTAAGTTTTAGTATGGATTGGAACGTTTACTTTAAATAGTACTGATTTACTAATGCAACATTTTTATCGTGCCAACCCAATGACCATTACTCTTTATAACCCTAGACTCACTTTTTTTTGCCTTTAAATGAACACAGTGTCTGTTCTGAAGCTTCCCTTTCTTAGATGGTAGCAAACCAGAGCCCTGCACCATTCACTTCACAGATGCACAAAACTCCTCTAACCCCCACCTCACTCCTACTGCTGTGTCCCAATGACAAAAAACTTGAATGAAAGACAAGGTGTATACCTTTCAAAATGAAAGCAGATTAACCCAATAAAGATACGAGATAGGATGTTCTGGGAGCAGATAGCTGGTCACATTTTAACCAAGTGGACCAATTTTTTTCATTTTTTGCTCAAAAAGACAGACTCCACAGTCTTTCCTGGTATATTGGGACAGGGCAGGGCACCACTGTTTCCTCATAGGTTGGAGAAACAGTCAATCTACCACCTCCCCATCCTCCCCCTGGCTGTGCCTGCGTGGTGTTAGTCTTTCTCTTGTCTCGCCCTGTCTTCCCTTCAGGTTATGGGCTGGTGCAGGAGGAGCTGCTGTCCCCGGCCTCCATGCAATACAGCTTGCCATCTCCGCTGGGCATAGAGCCCTACTGGCAGGAAGTCTCAAGCCTTGAATGTGCCCCAATTGCTACCACAGAGGAAGACACATTAATGGAGATGTCCGATGTTCAGGTGTGGCCAGCAGGGGTCAGTCCCTCGCTGGTCACAGTGGAGGACTCGTCACTGGATGGCAGTAGTCGAGCTGACGACTCAGAGGGAGCGACCCTATCCCTGCCCTACAGCTTGGGTCGCCCGAGCAGCGGAGCCAGTGGGGCCAGCGGCTCCATCATGGAGCTGGAGGAGGAAGAGGAGGAGGAGGAGGAGGAAGTGGAGGTTGAGGAGGAGGAGGCGCCACAGGAGCCAGCAACAGCCCTGGCAGAAAGGGACAGGGTGCGAGCCAGTGGCGCTGTTCCCAAGGTCAACCTTAATGGCCAGTTGGGAGGTCAGAGGTCGGAAAGAAGGAGAGGAGAGGCCCTTTCTGCAGGAGGAGGGGCTAAAGGGGGAGGTGAAATTCTGGGGCTGGGTTCAGTGGAAGGAATTTCTGTTGTTGCAGGCCAGCAGGTGTATGCTCAACGATGTGAGATTTCGGGACTGGGTCGGCCTTCAGAGCACAATGGAGAAAACCGGTATGTTGACTTATACTGTACTAAATCTGATTTAATCTTGCGGCAAAAAGACAACATATCTCCTACATCACTTGTATTTTGTCTTTCTGTTTTTGCTCTTCTACTCCCTGTTTTTAATTAATTTCCATTTTGGTCTCCAGTATGGTGGGCGGTGGAGCATTTCAACCTTACTTACCAGACAAGGATTCCCTGCAGGGATGGGTGGGCTCAGTGTCATCAGGACGTGACGGCAGCATGCCAGGCTTGCGAGTGGCCCAGGAGGCTCTGCTGACTCCGGTGTGTGACACGGGTTACTCTTATGTGCTGCGGGGGCGTCTCCTGCAGGGCACGCAGCCCTTTGACAAGGGGCTGGGCTTCTCCCACCAGGAGACGGGCCAACGTGCCTGGGAACAGGAGCAGATGCGGGGACAGGTCAGGTTGCCACGACAACCACCCGCCGCTGCCTGCGCCTGGAGGGGGAACATCTTTGTCCATCCCTTTATCTTTTTGAATTTTGGTTGTCATCAACAAATTTAGTCCCACTTAACAATTCAAAAATCATCAGAATTGATGATTTTGATGATGTCACAGAACCTGACCAGAATAATGTGTTGTGTGGGGCAACACATGAGGTATAGCTACCATGTCCAATAGTTTGGGGTTGTTTTTTTACATTTTTAATGCAGAAACGCTTTATGCAAATATTTCTTTGTTTCCACAGCAGGCACTTTTCCCAGGAACTAGAAACCTTTCCAGGAGCTTCTGACAGTACAGAGAAGCGGATACAAGTGATATATGATGTCTTTTCAATGACATGTAGTTGATTAAAGGTTGGCCGTAAAACTTCCAAATTTTACTGTGCTGCTGGATGTCAAGAGGATACCATCTTAAACACATTTTCATTCCAATAAGTGTTTAGGGCGAACACAATTACCTCTGTTTTGTCTGAGTTTCTGAACTGCAGGTCAACTAGGTCTTAGTCTACTGATTGGTTTTGTCAGGCTTGATTGAGAAGTACATTTTAGCATCATCTGCACAACAATGAAATCAATGATATAACTAAGCAGAAGCATCTATAAGATGAATATAATTAGTCTGTGCACTTAAACTAGTGGAACTCTTTGAATTACTGTGTCCCTTATAGTGGACTTATCATTGGGTACCATGTGTACAAACTGAGTTAGGATTTGAACCAACTTTAATTAGTTCATTTAGTTCCTAAGTTCCTGGTTTAACAAAGAGTATTTTATCCATGTGCTTGTACATTTCAAGAGTAATGAACCCTGAACATGAAGAGGAAACTGTAGTCTCCAATAGTGAAGAGTCCCTTTAGGTGGCAGTATCATTGTTGTAAAGTATTGTGCAAGAATCCCATTGAAATAGATGTCCCTGTAAGACGTGTTTGCTAACATTTCCCTAGAATGTAGACTGCAGAGTTAATACTCAGACAACAGCAGGTGGAGGAAAAACGTTTAGTTCCTAGAAAAGTAGTTCCTGAGATCTAAAGTTCCTGGTGCTTTTGGTGGAAACATGTGAAGCGTTTTTGTCTGCCGCTAACATTTACTTCTGTGTCATTTTGTTCAGAGAGAGGAGAAAGAGGACTTTGTTGCTGAGGCACAGTTTGCTTCTGAACAGGGCAAGATGCTCGCTCGAAAGGTTGGTCAAAATGTTTACATCATTCCTTCAGTCATATCAACACAATCTCTCAACCTAAGCATTGTCACATTTGATAGATCGGTCACAAAGTCTGGAAGAAAGGGTGGGAAATTAACAGTAGCCACCAGCCAAATGTTGGTTTGAAAAAATGTTTACAAATCAGCAGATTTGACAAAAAACATCAACTTTTAATCTGTTTTGGACACTAAAAAGAAAGTCATATGAACACCATATTTGGTCATTGAAAATATAATGTCATACCTTATCGTCTGAAAGGACTGTAAGAATAAAAGTGACACATAATCACCTTTCCCCATCATTGTCATCATTAGCTAAAGGCTTTTACAGTTGTATTAATTTCATGTATTAGACAATGTCCCCATAGCAGTGCAGTATTCTGGAAATTATCTATCTCCAGCTGATTGGCTAAAGTACTAGTACTTGTAATGAAATTACAGCTAGGACTGCAGCAACCCTCATTGGCTGGCCGGTGGAGATCAGTTGGTTTCCTGCTCTGGTTACATTAAAGAGGCGTCAGGAGTTAACTGGTCCAAGTGTTGTTTCTTTCCCTCCTCCCTCCCTCCTTGCTCCAGGTGTGGGGGTGGATGTGAGAAAGGGTTCTCAGTCAGTGCAGCGCACCAGTCTGCGGAGAGTTAAACACTGAAATACAAATACTACCCCAGTCCTCCAGGTATGGGACACTCAGCAAGCACTTGTGCATCCCAGTGCTTGGAAATACGCCTGTATGGCAATATATTTGACTCAGAGCTCAATATTCTATCACATGCTGTTCTGTTCTATTTATGTTCAAAATTAGAACACTAGATTAAACATTCACTACTCTGATTATTATGTTTGTATTGGGAGGCCAAAATAATTTAGCCTGTATGCTTTTTTTTAGTTATTAATGGTGTCTTTCTCTGTTTTCCAGGACCGGAAAGCCACTGCCAAACCATCCTCCAAAAAAACACAACCAGACCGAAGATGGAAATGAACAAAGGAGTAGAGGAAGAGAGACACAAAGACTAAGAAGTGCAAACTACAAAGTGACAAAGACAGAATAATCCTCTATGTGTGACCATGGAGCACCACAAAAGAAAAGAGACAGGGGGGGGGGGAGGAGTTCAACTTGTAGTTTTATAACATTTGTAAAGAAAAACATCAACTAAACTATGGCATGAAGATTCTTTTTCTTTTTTACAAAAAAAACATAAATGTCAGTAAAACAACCAAGAAAAAAAAAAGCAACAAAAAAGTGCTTCCTGTGAACTGTTATCGCATGATGACTGCTGGTGCATGCCCTTTGACATTTTGAACTGTCATTATCTTCAAACTGAAGGGGTACAAGGAGCGGGGGCTGGCCAACACTTTGGACACATGTCGTTTAAGGACCTAATCCCCACCCTCTAAATAAAGTGGCAAGCAAGTTGAGTCCAATAACACAAAGCCAAAAAAAAAAAAAAAAGTCCCCAAAAGGATGGTTCTATATACAGCTAAGCCTCCAATGCTTCTTTCACTGGATCTTTTCCCTGATTATTCGCAATGTGATATATGCACTATATGCTACGTGGACATGTGTCAGTGTGTGTATGTGTGCGTATGTGGGCGTGTATTCTTCTCTACCGCATGTGTTCCTTGCTTCTGGCTCTGTTCTGATACACGGGTCACCACTGGCCTTTCCCCTGTGATGTCATGGCGTGCTCAGTGCTGGAAGGAGAAAGACGCAGCGCTCCCTTGCTTGTAAGTGTTCCTGTCCTGTGTGTGTTGATGTCTTTTCTTTTGCGGATAACGCTTGTTTCTTGTTCTTTGTTTTGTATCTGAAACTGGTCCACCTTGGTGTTCAGCAGTGTTTAACCTCGGTAGGGACCTGAAGCTCTTTGAACCCTCGTGTTTTATGGGGACATGTGTTTTTTTGAGACAATAGGGGATGTGTTCTTTTGAAAGGGGTCAGCTGATAGTTTGCTCTGTGCAGCAGCTTTACAACCACAAAAATTTAACTCTTTCCTCCCTCGTGACCTTTTCTACCTTCTTCCATCAATTCTTCCAGTAGCACACTTCATCTTGATCCACAATCTCTATCAGTAGCCTCTGTCAATATGCAGTGAAATCACAAGCCTCTCCATTAGCATTTAAAGCCTCCAACCGATGACAAAAAAGAAAAAAAACAAGGTTTGCATGTTCAATCTCTTTATCTGTTTGCAACGGCTATACAGCCACAGTGTCAAAACTTCACCTGTAAGAAGTAGGGAAATATTAGAAGGGTCTGATTTGTGTGAGGATTGACTTCTTGTTAAATGGTAGCCAGCGTAAAACAGCGTGATGCCACCACATATGAAAGGAACTGTGCAGTGAGGACAGACAGCTAGCACTGTGATCGTCTCGTTATCACTGACCCCAAACTCGTGAACTGTCAAGACACACAGACATTTATACAAACCAACAAAAGCACAGTATATATATACATACATAATCAGACGCCCATTACGTCATTAAGTAATCATGCTAGGTCAAAATGTCAGAGGACAGTGATTTTCGAAGTTTGCAACAGCAATAATACCTTATGACAGCCACAAAAGAAGAAAGCTGCGGTTCTGTATGTCTCTCCTAAGAATGTGAAACTGAAAGGTGTAACTTGACTGAACTCCTGTGTGAACACAGAAACTCCATCTGGATGAGCAGCCGTCGTGTTGATATGGAGCTGCTGTACTGTATCTAAATGATTCAATCGACCTTGATGATGATGCACCGATGCGAGATCAGATGACTCAGCGGTAGCAGTGTGGAAGGCCTGAGACAGATTGTTTAGGATTTTTTTTTTCTGTTTTTTTTTTTTTTTTCAGCACCTAACGTAGCAAAAATATAAACCAGGATATGTTAACGTATCACACTAATATCTATTAAGAAGTGTGCTGCTGCTGTAAGGGGGAAACCACCTTATTGCATTGTCTTATATTGGGTATATAAGTTTGTTTTGAGTGTGTCATATTCATATCCTTGTAAACCGCCCCTCATCACTTACTTTATGCATGAAACTGATGGCAGCACTATGAAGGGGTCATATCATAGTAGCACACATTTTTCTGGAAAAACACAATATTTAAGTACTGTATATGCTACTGTAGCCTGAATGAGTGAGACACTGAATGAATGAATGTAGTCATTAGTCACACATCACACATGTGCACATACTTGCCATGCCCAATCCGTGCACGAGAACCTCATCAGATAGAGCACATGTTTATTACATATCACATGTTTTCCACTGTAACTCCACTCAGGTTTTCAGTTCTGCTCTGTCAGAATCAAAATTATTATTATTATTATTTTATTTTTATTTTTTTAAGTTCCAAGTCCTCCTCTCAAAGACAAGCACGGGACAAGAAGTGGGTGCTTCAGAGTTCGGCTTTGGTTCCGGGGACAATTAGGCAGTGTTTAGGGATTCACGGGGGTGGGGGAGGGGTGGGTGGAGTGTGGATGAGGCAGGATGGTTTGTGTGTAAATCTGTTAGTGAGTGAGTGAGCGAATGTGCATGTGGAGGTGTCCTGATTAAAATAAGACCAAAAAACGACAGAAAATAAGTAATAGTTATCAACTAGAATCTTAGCTTAGAGAGCTTCCAGGGAGGATAATTAACCACTGACATTTATCCTCATTCATTTGTTACTAGTGATGAACAAAAAAGAAACTAAAACATTTTGAGAAACAGAATCTTCCTTAAAACAAATGTAAATAAAGCCAAACAAGACAGTTTAATTTGAAGCAAAATACAAGTTGAAAGTTCTCAATTAAAGCTTCAAAGCCAGTCTTCCACAGTTGGAATTCAAAAAGTAGACCCAGCTGTAAAAGTTACAAGGAAGACAGTAGTTGCAAAGACACAAACTGGTGTAGTGATACAGTGCTAACAAAACAGATGAGACAGGTGAGTCAGCTTTATTGTTCTTACCAGCATACGGTTTGTTAGATTGTGCCTTAAATAGGCACAGAACTTGGTCGTCTTTGTCCACCAAGGCCGTAGCCACCAGTAGACATGTTTGGAGAAAGCTTTGAAAAAAAGTCTATGATGTGGGAGATACAATTTACTTCAAATATAACTAGAAAGTATATGTCTAGAAGTATATTAGAATAGAACCCATTTTACATTGAGTCTAATGATGCATTAAGCACTTTTACTTCCGTTGACTATAAAATGATTCTTCCCTTTCCACTCCAAAGTGAATCGTTACAAACATTTGGATTGGTGTACTGAAATGAACTCTGTTGTCCTCCACCTTGAAGTGTGTGTATGTTTGGAGTGTGCGTGGATGTGTGTGTCCGTGTGTGCGGTGCTTGGTTCCAGACCTTGCTGGATTAGGGGGAAGAAGAGAGATTTGACCAGAATGTGACTTGAGAGGATGTGTAACCAACAATGGTGTATTTTAAGAAAGAGTATTGTAAAAAAAAAAAAAGTAAGTGTTGCGAAGAATAGAGATCACCTATACTCCTTTAGAATGGAAACATGACAATGTAAACGCAATATCATATTACTCTATCCTAAGGAATGCAACTGCGCACATGCACAAAAAATGTTTTTATGAAAATATATGTATAAATATATGAAAAAAATATATTTAATTAGAATGCTATGCACCCTCATAGAGTTGTTATGGATGTTCTTTAAGCATTATCTAGACTAGGCCAACGCCCACATCATGGGGAATGTAGAGGCTTTGTAGCTATGACCACTTGTTTTCTTTTCTTTTGTATTGTCCTGGAGAGAGGATAAACAAACGTGAATATGTATACAAGCCTTTCAATCAGAATCATTCTGACGTGAAGATATGTATAGATCATCTTACCCTGTACACCAGCTCAAACCATTTACAAGAATTAATAAACAAAGATGTGACATAATGTGCTGTGTCATGGTTTGTTCAAAGTTTTTTGGTTTTTTTCAATAATATTCATAAAGCTTATTGCATTTCCAAAATACTTTCATGATTTTTTTAGATGGTAGTTCAAAGGCAGGGGTTGATTTCTTGGGAAATTTCATTCAAAGCAATGAGTAAAAATGTATTTTTACTATTAACCCTCCAAAAAATGAAGCATTTTTAAGACATGATTAAAATGTTTGAATGTGTTTTTATTAATTAAAATTGTGGAGCCCCTCCGGTGACATTGATGAGCATTTTATAACTTGTGGCCACGAATAAATAATTTGATGCCTCAAAAAATTAATTTCTGGGCTCAAAATATTAATTTCTTGCCATGAATTACTAATTTGAGGCCACAAATTATAAAATGTTCACCAACGTCACCAGAGGGGCTCCGTATAGAATAACCAAATAATGGAAATATATACCTTTTTTTTTTATTATAAAGGGGGTAGTTAACAAATTGTTGACTCATAGCAACAATGCACTAGTGTGGAAAGTACCATAAAATCCAGTTTTTATTTGAATTAAAACAAGATTGAACATACATTTAATATGTAATTAAACATGTAAACAAATATTAACATGGTTTAATGATTATGACTTCAGTTGTTCTTTAAATTTTATGTTTATAGTATTATCAAAACGGTTAGATAGGGACATACAACTCTTTAACTATAAAACACAGTGATTTCTTATTTAATTTCATGAAATCATTCTCAGTCAATCGCAATAATTTGATTTAGTAAATTAGTACATTCCTCTATCTGACTGAACTTCCCCCCTCTCCACTAGTGGAAGAGCTAGCTATGCCCTGTTCTCACTCTCTCTCCCAAAGAAGTAGCTATAGCATGTTCTATAGATAGGTATATAAATCCAAAATAGTACAAAATGCTGTCTGCAAATCTTATTACTGTGTTATCAGGATGTATTAATCTATATATCACGCTATACACGCAACTTGTGAAAGATCTACAATACTATATCCTTGGAAGATAAATATGTATGTTAAAACTCAGTTTATTGTGTTAAAACTCTATGGGTTTATTGACTAGAAATTGGTTTATTGGGTTTATTGAGTATGTACACATAAGTGGACCACCTTACAGTTTGAGTGGGATATCAAATTCTTGTTAAAACGATAATTGCCTTAGTGCAATTTATAATCCAGAATAAATTGGACAGTTAAATATATCTGAAATTACAAAATATAAATTAAAATGATGATTTTTATCCTTTTAAATGAAATAAAAAGTTGTAAACAAAGTCTCAGAGAGCCTAGTGCCATGTAATTCAATTGCAGTCCCATAGGTTCAATGCACTAAGATCCATGGAATATTCGCCATACGGCAACAAATTCATTACACCATTTTACAAATAATATTAACATACAACTGGTTTAAATGATGAAACTTAAAGTTAACATATCCCTGATGGCAATAAAAAAAAAATGAATGAAGGAATTTATCCAAAATATCGAAGAATTAAACTATGTTTGGAGGCCCCAGATCATGAACTTCTAGGCGTTACATGCCATGGGAAAAGTGGGCGCAAACAGGATTTCCTGGTCATCTGCCATAAATGAATTGTATTTCAAAGTAAAAGCCCTTATTTTCACAACAAAACAATGAAAACATGTATTTTATATAACTGCCTTTGTGTAAAATTGAGATAAAGTAATTGTTAGCATTTTACAACAACAGCATGCAGTAGAGGGTTAAGGGTTGGTAACCACCAATATATTCTATATTGATTGTATAGTATATTTGACGTTTTGTTTTTTATTAAATCCTTAAAAATGATTTGAAATCACATTCAGAATGTGTCACTGAATTGTCCTGAATAGACAAGAACATTTTGGTGGTAGAGACCATAGAATGGAGACTAAATACCAGACCAAAATGCATCCAGCCGGAAAAAAAACTACAATTCCCATGCGCTGTGACGCCCCCTGTTTTAAGCCAATCACAGCTCTCCGCTCCATGTGGCGTTTTGTAGGAAGTCACTGAGTTGTTTTGGATGTGCTCAGAGCACGTGGAGGCTCGAGGTGTCTTCCCTGTACTCTGACTTGTAGTCACAGAGCGTTCCTGCAGACTGCACACAGCTCCCAGTAACTCACTGGTTTTACAGGTCCACCACCAGTTCTGTGAGAGATGTCAGCTGGAGGTCAGACCACTCGGAGCCGGGAAATCCCGGCCGTCAGACGGGTCACCATCGACGATGCTGCTCTCATGCCCCAAGACTACTCCACGACTCCGGGAGGGACTCTGTTCAGCACTACGCCCGGGGGTAACGATCTTAATGACAGAAATGTGGACAAAAAGGTTGTCATAAGAAAGTTATATCAGAAGAGGGACACAGAAAAAATGAGAAGAGAGTCAGTGTCAGTGAAAAAGAAAACTGGTTTTAAGGTACACTTGAGGTGAAGCAGATGAGAGACTTGCTGGGGTTTTTAAAGAGTGACATGTTTTTGTAGACAGGCAATGGAAAGGAGTTAGTGGTGGTTTAATAGGCCCCACACATTTTACAGTAGATAGGCAACTTCTAGATGACTCATTTTATTACACTCCAGAGACAACTTCAATAGTTTTTACAATTTAAAACGTTTGTATACCTGTAATTATTATTTTTATTCTCTTGTTTATTTTATCTGTGAAGCAGACACATGTCAACACGTGTGTAGGAAAGAAAACACTCATGTCCAGTTGTGTTAATGTTTGCCAGTGTTTGTAGACTACTTTATGAAGCCTTTAACATGCCAGTAAACAAAGTTAAAAGGAAACTTCTGTGTGCAGAAATAATTTCACATTTTTCATTTGGGTATAATGTCCTGTGTTTGACAGTGTTTGTGTCCTTTGAAAGCTTAGAAGATGATTGATATGTTAATGAATAATGTATTCGAATAGACTCTGTAACAGTTAAAAGTGAGGTTTTAGGCTACTTAAATATAGGTCTAGATTGTTTAAATTACCAAAGCACACTATGATTCAATGACCCTAGTCACAGTATGGCGAAATACTGCCCCTGTTCTCAGTCATATACTATTTATAGTCTTGTTAGTAACAGCAGGCTGTTGTTGCGCTGCAGCCACGTTGACATGAGTTAAGCTAAGTTTTCAAAATTAAAGAGTCAGAAAGTAATTATATGGTAAGTATAAATATGTAAACATGAAAGCTTCTTTTACCCACTAACCACCTTTTTAAGTATTTTAAGGACAACTTGTTTTTTTGTATACCATGTTGATTTAAATAAAAAATAGTTTGACTACAGGCTATCAGCATGACTGATGATATACTGCTCAGCTATCAGATCAGAAAATGACAATGACTAAAAAAAAATCAGTGAGTTGTCTGACCCATTTATTCCGTATTTTACTCAAACATGCCCTCTCGGTCAGATCTAGACGTAGTAGTGACCGATAAAAGTAAAGCAGACAGCGTTTTCCCCCCCCTGTGGTTGTGAGAATGGTGACACACAGTGCACATGTCCATTAGAACTGATACTGTGTCCTGTAACATTACCAGGTGGGACAGATTTACACAGATAAGACAGAAGTGGGTCAGTGAAGGGAAGTCACTGATGGGGAATAGAAACAAATAGGCCATTGATCATGGGCATGGATGGGCATGACCACAGTTTAGTCTCAGAAATCTCTGTAACAGTCCTCTTACAAAGAACTTGTAGCTCCTGAAGATTGGTTGTTTGTACAAACTTCATTACTTTCACTCATTTTTTTTGACATTGTATCCAGGTGCAGGTTTTTTATCTTTAAATGAGCTATTTATTTCAGAATCAGAATCAGAATTGGGTTTCATTGCCAAGTACATTTACACATGCAAGGAATTTGTCTTGGGTGTATTGGTGCTAAACATTTAACAAGGAAAAAAAGGAGAACTTATTATTAAGGAGTTAAAAACAAACTGTTAAATGTTATCCCATTTTAACACACTGTATATTATTTTATTTATGAGACACCAGCTCATCTCCTGTGCCGTAGAGCTTAAACAAAAATGTTCTTAAATATTGAATGGTGACACTTCTGCCTCTCATATTGATTACTTAATTGTTTGGCTTTGTGAAATATTGGCAAAAGGTGACATCTTTTTCTCTTGCCGGGTCCCGTGCAGGCACGAGAATAATTTATGACAGGAAGTTCCTCCTGCAGTGTCGGACATCTCCTCTGACTCGCACGCCTCCCAAACTGCCTGACATCCCAGGCGTCACCAGGCCCCTCAAGCCAGACTCCCCCAGCAACACAAACCAGCCTGAACCGACACCCACTAAGACTGACCACGACCAGCACACAGAGGAGAGTGCAGGTAATGATTTCTGCATGTTTCACATGAGAACAAAATGTATTGTCTGTTTCGCTCGACTCAACTGCAGTGTCTTTTCTTTTTGCAGAAGACGCCCAGTTTGAAATGGACATCTGAAGAGTCGGCTCATGGATAGAAAATATTTGTAATATTTTTTAATTTACTGAGATGAAAAGAATATGAGTTGAAATAGGGAGCTTAGTCTTACATACCTTTTATAATCCACTTTCAGATTTTTGCTGAAAACAAGATGGTATTTTTTTAATGCTCTCTTAAGAGAGTAATTGATGCAAAAATGTGTTTGTTTTTTTACTTCTAAGTTCTCTTAACTCTGTATTAACTGTGACATTTTTGACAAGTCAAAGTCTGTGTAAATTAAACCTTTACACCTTTAATGACTTGCCTTTTGAATACATACATATTCAATGTTATACAAATGAACCACAGAGTTTTTACCTGTTTTGTCTAAAATTACAGCCTTAGAACTGTCAATGTTTTCTTACGTTATTATTTTGATATATTTTTTCTGCTATCACTAGTGTGGTAGCTATCTAAGAACACTTCATTTTTTTAATCATCTTGCTTGATAGCAAACCATAACCCTCATTCATATTTAGCAAGTACAGACAAACAGTATCTGTTTGCTGGCTTGTGTTATTAATTT